TAGTTCTATTCAAAAGCAAAGTGAAGTACTGGCCCTTGTAATAAAGAAATAATTGGAGTTTGTTTTTCATCGTTCTTTTAATATCATTAATGTAAACAAATTATGAAATTTGCTTGGTAGGACATACTAGGATTACAAAAACACATGAGATAGAATAGAACTTTTTCTTTTCAGGACAAAAATTTAAAGGGTTACATGGCATGCTAAACATCATTACATGATAATGCCTTAATAAGGCAAAAAACATTATCTCCCATGCCGACTAACCAGGGAGTCTCCCTTGAAACTAAAGTCCCTGTCTATACAGAATGACTACAGAGACGTCCTACTTAAAAAAAAAAAAAAAAAAAGGCGTTCAAATTGGCTGTAATTCAAAACATACATCCTTGAAGGCTTGTAGTCATATAATATGGTACTGTAGATCCTTTTTGCCATTTTGGTAGTTTTTCAGTCTCATCAGCACCTTGGTTAGGCAACTACATGTAGATATTGGCACTTTATACATTCCTGGATTGGATTGGATTGGATCCTCATCACAATTGAATAAAAATGGTGTGCAATAGAGGAAACAAAATTGTGTCTACATCATGGTTATTCTAACTTTTTCCAACTCCTCAAAGGAAGAAGGAACTCTGCATGATAGAAAGTAGACCACTTTTGGACATGCGGCTGACCTTCGATGATGTCATCACCATCGGGCAGCAGGGGTTCCATGACAATGGTTCCTTATGATTTGATAGGGACCGAGGGCAAGAGCCAATGGGGGGTGTGTGAAAAGAAGAACCTTTACCAAACAAAGGGAAGGACAAAAGGAGTGGACTTAAGCACCGTCCTACATAAAAGAAGGACATGTGTTTGAAGGATCGAGGCATGGCCGTGTTTCCGTGGGTGTTATGGTCACGAGTTACAAGCTAGTGCCCAGTATGTGGGACTCCCAGTTTCCCAAGACTTTTGTATGTTTCTTTGGTCAGTTCCTTTTGTGTTTATGTCTACCTGTATGTGTAGGCCCATACATGTTGTGTACATCTAACTCTATCAAAGCTGTATGTTCACTCAATGCTTGGCTATTTACAAATAGTTTTCTTTTTCTGACTTCTTGTAATCTACACAGCTTCTCCCCAAAATATGTTCTGGTATATACATGTAGATTGCCAGTTGTGTAGTGGAATATCATGAATTCAATAACAATCAAAGCCAGGTTGAATACAAATGGGAACGGTAGTTGGTACAAGAGAGAGGGGGAGAAAATGAGAGAGAAAGAGAGAGAAAGAGAGAGAATGAGAGAGAAAGAGAGAGAAAGAGAGAGAAAGAGAGAGAAAGAGAGAGAAAGAGAGAGAGAGAGAGAGAAAGAGAGAGAGAGAGAGAAAGAAAGAAAGAGGGAGGGGAGGGGGGCAATAATCAAAAACCTTTTCTCATTAAATATACGGGTATGTGTGGTAGTCCATACATGTCTGTCGTGTTTGTAATTTGAGTGGCATTGGAAACATCATATTTGATCTATTTATCTTTTGGTGACAAAGATGAAGAGTTTAACCTTACAAGCAGCACATCCTATAAAGTATGATGACCTGGGATGTATGTAATTTCAGAGGCCCTGCATCATTTTATTTGATCTGTTAAATTTATGACAAGAGTAGAAGGGTTAAACTTTACAAGCAGAGAGCAGCGCATCCCGAGCGTGACTTGGGATCAGGTGGGCTTGCAATTAAGAAAGCTGTGACTTTGCTCAACATGAAGTGACAAATGAAAATTGTATGACAATAACAATTTAGTCCCGACACATGTACATGCTGTCTTTGCAGTGATATATGCTACGGTCACAAAGATTCATACAAACGATAATTTCGTACGAATCTCTGTTTTTCCATTGTCTTCCCGAATTTCCATTGTCTGAAAATCGTTTGTACGGCGTTCGAAGCAGTTCGTAATGGCATTTGTAACCGAGGCTTTAGGTACATCATTTGATCTGGTGACACAGTTGTTAGGGCAAGAAAGTTCCTAAAACTTGGGATCATGGATGGGATTGTATTTTAGGTTAAGTGTTAAATAAATATGTACCAGCTAAATAGTGGGTTAGAGTTATTAAGACCTAGGGACTGAGCCTGTTGGAAATGAACATATTATTTCCTACTAAATACATGTAGGCATTTTGGAGAGGGGAAACAAAACATGTCTACTAGAAGATGGAGGCTACACCCCCCCCCCCCCCTCTCCCTCTATCTTCACATATTAGACCTCTGTTTTGTTTCAAACTTCAAAGGTATTCAATCTAGACTGGTCTTGAGGTATGGACTATGGACAAACTAGCAAGCACCTAAGGTGCCTGGTAACACGAATATCATAATTAGTCTGAGGAATGCAAAGTTTTATAACCTCTATCAAAGATCTCACGAAAATCAAACACACTTATCTCTCTTCTCTTCTCAAACAAATAAAATTAAAGTTAAACCCTCCAACAAATTACACATCCAAAGCCACAGGCCTACATTATACATGTACAATATATCAACCTCATTATAGATATATAAACACTGTAGTATATTACAGAGGAGTGGAAGTAGACATTCTTTGAAATTTTACTACATGTAGGGACCACTTCATATTAATCCATTCCAAAATAGGGGTTGAAAAACTCTTTTGAGAATGGTTAAATTTTTTAATTTTTAAACGATGGATTTCTATTGGAAAGTTGGAAAAATGGAAGTTATCCCTAAATGCCTCCCTTCCCCCCCCCCCCCCCCCCCTCCCCCCCCCCAAAAAAAAAAATTAAACAAATCACACAATATTTTTCTTTAAAGCCAAAATGGATGTCTCTCCTGTACACGCATTTATTAGAGAGTATGATCAGGTAGTCATACGTTCTTGAAACTAAGCACAGAAATAAAACAATGATTTAGTTATCAGGAAAAGAGGAACCATTCTGAATGATAAATAAACAAGGACTACTAACATACATATCAGATTTGGAAGGAAAAAAGAATTCTCAGAAAAATGTAATTAAAAAATCTTGATGTTATTCTTTGTGGTTCATCAAACACAGAAAAGGCAAGGCATGAAAACTTAATTCCCATTTCTTTCAAAGGTGTTGTAGTAATGTGGTTTGTACTCGACTGGACATGACAAGGTCACAGTTTCAAGCCCTAACACCACCCTATTGTCGTTTGGCAAGACATTAATTTACATTACCGGAATGTTGGCTCAGTCAGTAGAGCGTCCGCCTCATAACCTGGAGGTCGTGGGTTCGAACCCCGGCCGCGTCATACCAAAAGACGTTAAAAGATGGGAGTTGTTGCTACCTTGTTTGGCGTTCAGCAATAAGGGATAGAGCAACGTCGATCTGGCGCTGCTCAGTGGCTGCCGGGCTCACGATCAATTGGGCAAAAAGAATTTCCGTTTCGGTTTAATAAAATTTGGAGTGGACTATTAGGCTATTATTATTATTATTACTATTAGTCACTCTACACCCAGGGCCAGGTATGGCATACCGGTGGGACTTGGAAAGAATTTCTTGATAACTATATAAGCACCAAACTCAGTAGGCTACCTAGAGCAAGGGTAATGTGCTTTGAGCACCTTGCCTGTTATGAGTGCTATAAAAATATCTGTTTTTCAAATCAAGAAAAAGGGGAGAAGGAAGAATGATCTCTACACTACATATTCAAAGGACATTGCATGAATTTTGTATTTTTTTGTTCATACATGTAGTAAGCCTAACATGTAGCTAATACATTAATTACATCAAATAGTTCATGTCATCATTGTCACAGCATTACATGTACGTACCAGCCAACATGCAGCATCATCGTTTTTTTTAAAGGAAGTTTGTAAATAAAAGAAATATCAGTATTTCTGTGTTAGAAGCCCGCCCCCCCCCCCCTCCCAACTTTGGGGTCGAAGGGGCTGCATTTGTGTTCCCAAAATCTCTGGTAAAGGGGTACTTTTCGTGTGACAAAGTCCGGCCCGAGAATTGTAATTTAGGGGGGGGGGGGGTCTCCAAGGCAGGAACAGCCAGAAATGTTGGCAGTCCTGAGATAATGGAGGGGGGGGGGGGGCTGCTTTCAAAGTGAGGGAACAAGCATATCCTAAATAACACTGAGTGGGGGGCTGGGGTTCAAAGTCTGAATCTTACACAATAATGACTAAATAGGTGTCTGCCTTTTTTTTCTTTTCATTTATCTTTTAAAATCATTTGCTGTAACATGAATAGAGAAAGCGTGCATCATTGAATGTGAGTGAGAGATTGTGAGAAAGGGAATATCCCTTCGATAACAATAGGTTATAATTCAAGTTAAATGTCTAGACCTACAGTACATATACATTAAAACTAGTCATGGTTAACTGAGCATGTATGTGCCTGTACCTCAATCAAACTTTACTAAACACTCATATAAAGACGAAATTTGGTTCATTCAATGACTTGGCCCTTACATGTACAAGACAAGGGGATTCTCTTTTTGTTTTGTCCTGTATGAAGATTGCCAATCGTCAAGAAACTCAAACCTTTCCAGCACACATAATTTGAACAAATTTGCCAAAAAATAATCAGTAGAATGAATGGTTGTCAAGATATCCTAACATTGATCTTCTACAGTTGTTTGCATTTATTATCTCTTTTTTTTCATACTTAAGAAAAAAATACTTCTAGGAGAATGAAACTTTAAAGTGAAGTATTTTGGGATTATTTTTACTTTTAGCATGTATAATTAGAAAGATGATTCTTTACTTTTGGAGTCTCACAATTTTTTTTCATATTTCTGGTTTCAAGTGCAACCCAGATGAAGATTACATATGTAGACGAATTGGATTATGACGACTTAGTCAAAGATCTGTCTAAAAAAAGAAGTTAACAGTTTTAAGTTACCTGAAATTTGGTTCAGATTGTAATACCAAAATGAATCACTTCCCTATAGAAATAGACCCTTCCCCCACCCCCACCCTTTTCCCTCAATTTGACCAACACCTTATCCATTATCTAAAAATTCCAAGGTAAAATGGCTCACCTTCTTGGTGCTTTTTCCTTCTGCCTTGAGTGCTGAAGCTTTGCCAGTGGGAGAGTTGTACCCAATGAATTCCACCTTCTCAAACTTCTTCACAACATTTTTCTTCTTCCCCGTCGATGTGCCACCCCCACCTCCTACATTTAAGAGACCCGAGGGCGGTGCCTTCGGTGAGTTATCGACCGTCGGCTTGGAACTGTCATTTCCCACTTGAATGACACTGATACCTGTTTGTGCAGGCTTCTTTATTTTACGAAGTTTTCCGAATATGTTACCCGACGTTACATTGTCATTGTCGTCCTTCTTCTGGGCAGTTGGAGGTTCTGAATGCAGATCCGATGGTTTCACAATATCCTTTTTGATGTCTTTTGATTTGTTGCTCGTTGGTTGTTGCTTTGGCTTTCGGAAGTCATCGGGATAAGGGATGTGGCTCTCTGCTGTTGGTTTCACTGGTGATTCCTTTGTTTTGACAGGAACCTTTTTCTGCTCGCTTACTTTTTTGTCGGTTGCACTTACAGTGGCATCAGAGCTTGTCTGATCTAACTTCTTACTTACATTTACAGTTTTGACAACCGGCTCTTTCTTACTATCCTCAACAGATACTTTGGATGGTGCAGGTTTTACAGGGTCCTGGCTTATGTTACTGGTTGAATCAGCAACAACTGGCTTCCTGAATTCAGCAGGGTATGGAATTTTCTCTTTCTTTGATGTGTCCTCTGTCTTTGCAACTTCCTCTTTCTTTGGAACATAGTTAGGATCTCTGAAGTTCCTTGGATAATCAACCTTCTTATCCTCAACCTTGTTGATGGATGTGCTTGATGGTTTGGTACTTCCAGATATGTCCTCCTTGCTGACAGTGCTATTTGTATCTTTTGTTTTAGTCTCATTTGATGACCCATCATTGACCTTGCCTGGTTGAGGTGCACTGGGTGCTTTTCTTTTCTCTGGTGACCCATTGCTTACTTTTGCAGTGCCTGCACTGGAAGCGTCATCCCCAGAGTCTGCCAAACCTTGTGCCTTTAACAGCCTATTCTTCTGTGGTGATCGAGGGCTCTCTAGCGATATCGTCGTCACTTCCGTCTCGTCATCAATGACAGACGAAGGCCTTACCAATTGTCCTTTTCGATTCTTAAGTGGCCCTTCATTTGTCAAACTTATGATTTCACTTGCGGGTAAATCTTGAGAAGGTTTGTTGCGAGATGGCGAGGGCGACTTGGCTGCAGCAGGAAGACTTTTGCTCTCACTTTTGGTAGTACTACTTTTCACAATTTTCTTGCTCTCATCAGGTTTCGGACTATCCTCCCTTTTCACACTCTGTCCCCTTGTTGAAACAACTGTTTTGGTTGATGATGTAGAGTTGCTTGGTTTTGATGGAGAAGAAGCAGTCGAGGCAGGTTTTGTATCACTGGACGTTTTCTGAGATTTCACTTTTTCTGAGGGCCCAGATTGAGCAGAACGACTTGGAGGTGGTGACTTTGGATTATTACTAGGTGTTATTGCACCCCCAAATAGACTGCTCAGTTCTGATATACTCTTCTTCCTACCCTGTGCCCTTCGTCCTGAAACTTTATGTATCTCTGTAATCGATCCAGAAGGTTGTTTAGGTTCCTCTTTTTTACTTATTTGAGAAGATATAGTCTCTTTGGATGAGCTTGCAGCAGAACTACTTGATGGTTTCGTCTTTGAGTTTGTGGTAGATACATGTTCAATGTTACCAACTTTTATCGATGGAGCAGAATCTTTAGTCTTGGATTTTGGCACATCCTCTTTCAAGTTCTTCTTATCAATAATATCATCACTTGATAGTGGTTTAGTAGTACTGCTCTGTGTTTTGTTACCTATTACTGATGGTCCATTCAACTCTTTCGATTGCTGTATATGCTTTACCTTTACAGATTCAGAACCAGTCGTCACTGTCTTTTTATTATTTGCAGAATTTGTTGGTTCAGATGGCAATGTCTTTTTACTTGAATTTGCTGATTTTAGCGGATCGTTTGTCACTACAGGAACATTTGAGGCAATCACACTTATCTGGCTACCTTTAGGAGGTGGAGGAGCTTTCCTTTTCTTTCTTTCTAAGGTCAAGAAGACGTTCTGGTGCACCGGTGGACAATGTTCCTCCGACACCCCTCCAGCTCCAGCCCCGTTGTCGGCTTCATCTCGCCCCGCTTTCCCTCGGTTTCCCGCTGACTCACCGCTGTCAACTTTCTGGACATGGGCGGTACCATTAACCAGCGGGCCCGGCGTTTGTTTAGCACTTGATTTACTGGAAGGATTCGCCTGCTTTGATAGTTCTGCCAAATCCACTGGATTCGGCGTCTTGTTTTTGTCGATGATTATGACCGTTTTCGGTTGTTCTGCCTGCCTCTTCCATGGCGGAAGCTTCCTCAATCTTTCTTCTTCCGCCTCCCGTTCTTTCCGTTTCTCTTCCTCCTTTTTCCTTTGCCTCTTTTGCAGCAAACCGATTTTCCACAGCGGCACTGACATGTTGTCGGTGAATTTCATCTATTAATTCACAGAAAGCTTCATGAAACTCACAATAAACACTTCAAATCCATGAAATAACTGCCAGTTGCCGGTATACGTTTCTAACCACAGATGATCATTCAGTCACTTATCTGCATGCGTCAACGTAGCACGGTTTCTGAACAAACTGTACTGTGAGAAAAACCAATGTAAGCACAGACAGGGGAATTATTGATCGGGTCCACCGGCCAGTACAGAGTTCTATCGCTTCTATGGCTATGCATTCAAAATTTACGGAGAGGGAGTGCGGCACAGCGGAGCTCGCTTGAGTGCGTCGGAACGGTTCTACAATACAGGTGGTGGTGGTATCGGGGAACTGAAGTAAGCATCCATTTTTAATGTGCGCTGATTTCGCTGACAGAAGCTCGGAGGATTTTAAAAACATGTTTTGTATTTTGACGCTCTCCTCCAAAATGAGAGTGATTCGGTGAAGCCAGACGAAGTCTCAGCAAGAAAGTAATTTCCGAACGAAATAGACTGATGTTTCTGTCTTGTCTCGCTGGGCGTCGAAATCTCAGCAAAAACGTGTTTCCTAGCTGTTATCGTTTTGTAAACAGTCCCTCAAATATGAAGTGACCAAGGGAGACCATTTTGATATTGCCGGTGAAAACAATGAAGAGCAACTGGTAGCCTATTAAGATCAAAGAGGAGTCAAATTTATTTTTAAATTGCCTGTAAAACATTCACATTTTTCAGCAGCTTTGATTTTTATTTTCTGTACATCGACAAAATTAATCGTAATTGAAATTAGATAAATTTGAGGATCGCCCATTTTTTACCCTCAATACGTTTGATAAATGGCCCCTTTCGTTTCATTTTAGTCATCCCGTCTAATTCATAGAAACAACAGCTGAATTTTTGGTAGTTGCCTTTCATGTGCCCCTAAAGTTTTAGGGAGTGGGAGCAAATATTTTCCTCGAATTACCCAGAAGCTCGCTCGCTACGCTTTCTCGCATTGATGTATCTCTTTATGCATGTAACCTTATAGGTATAATATTCAATCTTTCCTTATGCGATTGGGTGTAAAGCACAATCACATTTTTCCAGCAAATGATTTTTCAGACAATCACACACAGGCACAACTACAAAGTATGATACGGGGGCAGTATGTTGAACCACGTAAAGAGAGAAACAATAAAATAATTAGAATTAGAATATACTTTTTTGGTGGTCAGTTGCTAAAATTGATTTTGATTTATCATTATTGATTTACCAATAGAAGCCATTGTATCGAGAAAAGATATTTCTCGATACAGTATTGATTAGTATGTAGGCCTAGGGGTATATAAAAATGTTTTAAAACTTGTATTCTTTTCGCTTTCAGATAACTCTTTGCAGGTGGCTTTTTCTTGTTTATGCCCTTCCAAATTGGAAAACGCTCCACCGCCCCTGTGTAAATGATTAGGCCTACCTGGCAATTGCTTTAAAGGTAATACAAAGTTTTGGTATGGGGTCATGAATTTGGTTCAAATGAACATATTGGAAGCATATGCGATCCTACAATATTCAGTGATCGTTTTCGCGGTTGAAATTGAGTCTAAAGTGATGAAATTGTAAATAATACACTCTTTATGTTGTATAGCTCCCTCTCAAAGTCAAGATAATAATTAAGCTATAAAACAATGTTTTTTTGACTAAAATCGACCGATTAGCTATTCCCGTTTGTAAATTTTATATCACAACCACATATTCTGAGATGTTCATGGTCGCAGCTACCATTGTTCGGCCGTAGGGGCTATTTGAAATTCATCAAACGAGCACCGGTAAATTTTAATATTCAATTTTTCTCGAAAGCAGAAGTGTTTTAGGAGCTACATTTTCTAGTGCTTATAATACATCCACAGGGGCATCCAAATATATCAAAATTGTAAAGAATCACTATCCACCCAATTTTCAAAATTTCCCCAAACTTTGTATAACCTTTAATATATATATATAAGGTCCACAGGAAGAGCAGTATAAATACCGATATGGCTACCCTGGGTAAATAGTCCAAATCACAATTGTTATTAAAATGATCATGATCAGCATTCATTATGAGTCTTCTATAATCATAAGTCTCATGCATGAAAAGGCTGTATCACTCAATCTGTCATATTCTCCTTTTCTCTTTCTGTTTTTCCCTATCTCTCTATTTAAAAAACCGTCCCCTTCCGCTGTAAAATATATAATTCTTTTAAATGAACGTAATGACGTTTTGCAATGAAACAAGGGAGTGCCCTTCATCAAGAAGAACCACCGCGTCCTTATAAAATAAAAATCAATAAATTCCCAAACAAAAGCTACTTCTTTAATTCCAAATGGGCCCGCTTCTGTATTTGTTTGCATGTTTGTTTGTTTGTTTAGGGAACTACAAATAGAAATAAAAACAATGTTACAGGCGTATAGATAAAAAGAAATTGTCTGCTCTGGTTTTTTATAAACAATCATTTTTTTTTTTTTAGATGAAAAGACAACAGACGGATACATACAAATGCACCAGAGTCTATCATCTAAATTCTACATCGTCTTGAAGCTAGCCTGTTTAGCTCGCTCGCTCACACACAGTTTAACACTTGTTTATATAGTGAAAACAAAGATAAAAGATTTGAACAGAGATCCTTAAAACAATGCACTAACCAAGCTACTATGTGGTTATAAAAGGGGTCTATAGATACGATTTTACATTGCGGTTTTGAAAAGTGTCAATTTTGTTTGACCCCAAAATATAGATGCCTCTATTAATCTTCTCTGCGCAAGATATCAGGAGTGTTCCATTTGGTGGTCAATCACAGTGAAAATTTCAAGAGGACCCTTCCTAGAGTGAATGAGAGAGGAGAGAAATGAGGGGGGGGGGGGAAGAGCCTGATAAAGGAGAGAGAGAAGGTAAAGGGAGAACGAGAGAGCAAGAGAGAGATAGAAAGAGAAACTGACTGACGGACAGACAGAGAGACTGCAGAGAGACACTCAAGGAAGAGGGGAAGGAGGGAGGGAGAGACGAGAGACAGACATACAGATGAACAGACAAACAAATAGACAAACAAACACAGAAAGAGAGAGACAGAGACAAGGAGTGACAGGGGTGCTTTGAGCGTATGAGAATGGAGTCGGGGCAATAGTGCGTGACAATACGCGAAAACAGGCGGCAACTTCAGCTGTTTCATCTGTTCCTATTGTTGGTATCGATAGCTCAAGCACAACATTGCATTGGAGATGTAGTGGCGTAGTGCGAAGTCCACACATTAAGGGCGGCGGGGGGGGGGGCATTCAATGAAACAATTTGGGGGTAGGGGCACCGGTTCTACTCTGAAAATGAAATTTACAAGGCTACTGATTTGGGGGAGTGTCTTCTTTCATCTCGTCTCAGCCTTCATTTCCCTTTCTCTCTTTAATCACGTTTTATTTCTTTTTATTTATTTCACCATTTATTGAGGGGCACATGCCCCCCGTGCCCTCCTGTAGCTACACCTCTGTTGACACATGCACATAACATTGATGACTAAGTAGTCTACCTACCATGACGTGTCCCTGTATAGAGTGTGTATTACCTTTCATGTGCATGATATGCATTTATTTAATTCTTTATATGCCACAAAAAATAATCTCCTTGTGCAACAATGTATTTTATCATGGGATAGATATTTCAATTTCAATTCATTTGTGTTTCCAACAAAACATCACAAATCAATAATAAACATTTACAACAAATGTAGAAATAGGGGTCCTCTAAAAAACAATGCTTGTACAATTAGTGTGAACACCTCAAATGATACTTAAGAATAATGAGTAATTTTGTTAACAAGTCCAAACAACTACAAAAGGAACTACAAATTGACGAAATAGGGTGGGGGGGGGTGCCAAGAGAGACGAGAATGAGACAAGACAGTACTTTACATGACAAAGATAGAAGAACACGGTCATAATACAAAGAGTAGACAATGCCAAAATAGAAGTGAGAGATCGAGGGTACAGAAAATAAAACAAAATGATGGGCTGTGGGGTTGAGAAGAAGATGAGAATAGAGACATGCGCATTAGAAAGGAGATAAGCATGAGAAGGCACAATTTATATCAAATTACATTTTGAGTCAGCGAGTAGAGAATGATATTGTATGCAACAAAAACAACAACAAAAATAACAAATGCTTCGAGACTTTTTTTTAAAGCTGTTTTCAGGTCAAAATTATTCTATTGAAGTGTAAAAAGGGGCTATCATCGAGCTTATAAAAACCAGGAAATGTATGATTTTTCTAAGCCACTGTGTTGCCCAAATCAATCTTTCTGTCAATTGGTGCCTTTGTTTTGTGCAAAATTACATGTGTTGCAAGCGATCGAGTCACACTGCAGAGACACGAAGAAAGCAACCGAAACAAGTGTCTCTTAAACTTAATTCACACTGACCAGTCTGGGTTTCTAAAGGGACGTAATATTGGAACTAATATCCGCTTGATTATTGATATAATTGATTACACTGAATCAAATGATATTCCTGGTGCTATCGTACTTCTAGATAATTAAAAAAGCATTTGACAGTGTCTCTCATGACTTTTTGTTTCATGTGTTAACAAAATTCCATTTTGGTATAGTTTATTGACTGTATTCACACTTTTTATTCGGATAGGAGAAGTTATGTCACTAATTATGGAAATCTCACTAAACAATTCGATATGGAAAGAGGTATTTTTCAAGGGTGCCCAATATCCCCATATTTATTTTTATTAGTCATTGAAACTATGGCACTCATTGCCGTTCGTCAAGGTATTCCAATAGAAGGTAATGATCTGAAAATTTCCCTGCTAGCAGATGACTCTACATGTTTTATTGATGGGTCTCCTCTCTCTCTCTTAATATCATTGGTACATTTTCTGGTTGTTCTGGTTGTAAACTTAACTTAAATTAATCAGAGGCTATATGAATTGGCTCCGAGCGGGGATCTCTACAACAACCATTATCTGAAACGGGTTTAAAATGGAACCAAAAAAAATCGTTTAAGACATTGGGAATACACCTTTCTTTGAATACCAACCGTTTATTTTACCTTAATTATAAGACAAAACTTAAATCAATTGAAAATACTCTGAATTGTTGGCGCGCTAGAAATTTATCCCTAGTTGGGAAGATCTGTGTCGTAAAGACCCTATTGTTGCCTCAACTTTTATATATGTTCTCTGTGTTATGTATAAAGATACCAAAATCTTTTTTAAAAACATTGAATACAATTTTTTATAAGTTCATATGGAATGGAGGCAATGATAGGGTCAAAAGACAATTCATGTGTAATCATTTTTCGTTATGGGGTTTAAAAATGATTGACCCCTATTCATATGCTATTGCTCAGAAAATGTCTTGGGTTAAGATACTACTAGACGATAATTATATAAGCTTATGGAAATCCATTGAGCTTGCTGTTTTAGTAAAGTTCAATAAAGAAAAGAACATTTTATGGAAGGCTCATGCCCCTGACCAAATTTTGAACGAATTATACTCGAGTCAATTAGCTGATTCCCTTCGAACGTGAAAGCTGAATTTGATATGGCTTTTTCTTCAATTGGATCTTGTCAATGTATTTGGTTTAATAAGAATATTAGTTCAAAATCCAAGAATTATTTTTTGTATCAGGGTTGGATTGATGAAGGGATTATTTTTATAAGTGATTTGCTTAACCTCCTCAGCCTGTTGGCAAACTTTTTGAAGAATTGATACTTGATTACGATATTAATCCTAGGGATAGGAGGAAATACAATTTTTTCTTATGAAAAATGTTCCTTCTGATTGGTTGGTCTCATCAGATCTGAATCATGATGTAATCTTTGGTGCCTTTGTCAATAAACTTGGGCAAGCTAGAAAGGTTCCCAAATATGCTTTTAATGTCATTCTAGAGCCACATGTTCCCGAAAAGAAATTAACATTCTGGAAAGAACTTTCTGACCCTAACCCTGTTAATTGGGACAAGATTCATATTGATAATTTCAAATGTTCTATAAGCACTCGCATTCGTTCATTTTATTTCAAACTATTTTATAAAGCCGTAGCATTAAATAACTGTTTGTTCAAAATTAAACGAAAGAATTCTCCTAATTGTTCATTTTGCGATAATGAACCCGAAACTTACCTACATCTTTTCATCGAATGTCAGACTGTAAAACCCATTTGGGATGATACCATTAAAACTATCAATCAGAAGATTAATAAAGTAGTGAATTTTTCAATATTTGAAAGAATGTTTGGCTATGAAAAGGATATGTTTTTGACGTATTTATTTCTTATGCTTAAATATTACATTTATTTATGCATATTTCAAAGTAAAATATCAAATTTTCAGGGTTTTAGAACTAACATCGACTATAATAAAGATCTTGAATATCGTATTGCAAAAAAGAAAAACAATCTGCCCTTGCACTTTAAAAAATGGAAGTTTGTTTTATAATGCTGTTTTATAATGTTGTATCAGTACATGTGCATGTAATTGTCTGCATCCAGTGGCGGATCCAGGGGGGGGGGGGGGGGGCCGGGGGCCCGGCCCCCCCCCCCCTTGAGAAAAAAATCATGTAAAATCACGTGATTTTTACCTTTTTTGGGGGTTGGGCCCCCCCCCCCCCCCCTGGCGCTCAAGGGGGGGGGGGGGGGTCGCAAATTGAAATTTTTTTGAGGATCAAAAAAAAAAAAAAAATGTGCTCACTACCCCCCCTACAATGAATCAATGAATTATTGATACTTTATTGCATTTTCTTTGTTTGTTTTTATTTGTGGGAACTGCCCCCTACCCTAGCCCCCGCTGCGTACAGTCATGGTTCAGTGGCAAAGCAATGGCCTCGTAACGGTGAGGCCCCAGGATCAAAACCGTGTTGATGTGCCATATTAGTGTCCTTTTGTTGGGCATTAATCCTCATTACTCTCATTTATGATTTAGGGCGTAGGTCCCCTAGTTGATAAGCATAAAAGCATACACATGCTTTAGCAGGCACGCAAAACAAACACTTGAAAATTATTATTTAATAAAATCTGAGAATGTATACTATTATCTAGATCTATTAGGAATAAATGATTGTCAAAATAATTCCATAAATTGGGGTGAAGAAGACAAAATTCCAACTATATGAGCGACAGTGTATGTGAGTTGTAGTGAAAATAATATTGTTCAGTTCTTGGCCCTTGAGAATGTGCAGTTAAAAAAAGAAGACATATTTCTCCTTATTATTGTATATCGTTTATGATATTAAAAACACGAGATTATCCTCCTCCTCATCATCATCACCATCGTTATCAATATCATCATAATCATCATCATAATCATCATTGCCACCATCATTATATTCTTTTATATCACCATCATCGCCATCATCATCGTCGTCATCTATTTATTTATTCACTTACCTATCTATCTATCTGTCTATCTATTATAAGTATATGTATTTATACTTTATTTGTCATTTTATGCTGAAATGGTCCTTAATTTTGTTGAAATAATTGTAGGGCCTATAGACAGTCTATCACCAATAATGAAGGGGAAAAAGGGACATTTATCAATTATATTTATTAGTCAAAGCCGTGTCATGATACATGAAACTATTTGTCAAACACAATGTATACAATAATCTATTTTGTTATTTTCTGTTATCAGCTGCGAAATAATTAATTGATTAGATTATAAACAAAACCACGTAGAGAGATCTATGCTGTGCACCTGTTGCACGGGGCCAATGAACCAATCACAATAGCGCTCTCTAACGAGTTCGGTGACGTTTTCTATTGACATCGGTCACGCATAACAGGGTCGAGGGGATCCCATGACAACACCATCTAGCAACAGACGCCAAAGAGTACCGGCACCGCCTCTAATATATTGAACGTGTGTTATACACGCTACCGCGGTACCTAGCACCTGTAATGTTCCACCACACGCGGGAGATAACAACACCCACTCCCTGCTAACTGCTCATAATCATCAGAAAAATAGCCGGAATTTAGAAAAAGATCGTTGAATTCCTGGATAAACGGGTGTATTTTTCAAAGGAATATTTTTTTTCTGTGCAATGGAGGAATAAAGAAACGCATTTTCCAAGATGATGTCCACGCGCTCACGTACACAAATACCGCTTGCCACGGCGACGGTCGGCCCACAAAGTTGGAGCGATGCTACGGTGAAAGAAATCAAAATTTCTCAGGCGGCTGTAGAGAAAACTGACACAGGCCAAGAAGTTGGACGATCGTTTGATGCCTTGCCATCCCTTCGAGATAATTGTGCACAGCAGAGTAACACAGTTGTTCACCAGTATGTCAGAGAATGCAGAATATCACTCGTCAAACTCAGGGACAGTTTTCTTGAAACCAATGAAGAAGTCAAAAGTTTAATACGAGGGAAGGAGGCACTGGAGAAGCAATTGGAACACATTCGAAAAGACATTGCCCTCAATAAGATGAGCACAGAAATCAGATGTACACGGCCATCAAGAGAAAGGGTAATTCATCTTGTTTTTAGTAGATTCTACAGTCATTCTAGATCCGTCATTTTGTTGTTGTTCCAATGTAGATTCTATTTCTAGATCAAAGATAGGCCTAGTCTAACGTGTTTCAATTCGTTGTTTAATAACTTCTATCTTCTGCTATAGTCGAGAGGGGTCTAGACAGAAGTAACCATGTGGTATGGGTCATTCTTTAATAAAACTGACATTTGTCAACCTCATAATCATATGATCTAGATCTAGAGCTGAGGCGGTCAGAGGAGCAAGATGTAATATCAGCGGAACAATCATCGATATCAGAGAATGAAGCTTTTGCAGTTTTGGTCTAGAATAGATGTAGATCTAGTCTTAGTTTTAAGAATCTGTTGTCCATTAATCTTCTAAAGTTCTAACAGAATAAAAGAGCCGTAACTCTTTGCAGCTATATGAGGACTCCCACAGTTGACTTTGCCACAATACTCAAAAGAGTCCAAGCACTGTAGACGAGTTTAGATCCATAAATAATGAGTTAAGAGATTGGAACAATTTTGTGATTCACGTAAATGTTGATGTCAAACTCACTTACTTAACAGAATGATTGATAATAGTTTAGTGGAAAATTAAAACCCTCCTAGATCTACAAGTCCCGCATCTCTTTTTGGTTTGTAGAAATTCAAAACTCAACAGTCATGCAGAGCCAAATGCATTGTTTAACCATTGTTCAAAACTCATTATCTAAAAAAGACCTATCAATGAAAATTTATCTTTCATACCGTAAGTATTTTCACAATGTAATTTTTTTCCACAGTTTTTTCATGTCATTGCTCCAAAACTAGACTACATTTGTTCAAAGCTGATGCTTTTATTTTTTCAATACCATGGTGGAAAAATCAGTCTGGTCTACTTGGATTTATTGTTTTATTTCCGGTAATAGAAATCTCGCACACCCTCAAAATGAGTTTTGACCTTTTTTTTTTGGGGGGGGGGGAGGGGATCTTACCTTTTTAACATTTTACTGCTTGGCTGTTTTTGCAAATCCTCCTTTGGACTTCCATTTGTGAGTGTATGCCAAAAGCCTGACCATTGTTCGGGCCCAAAGCATGTAAGGAGAACTTTGTGTAGCAACTCCTTTTGTTTGTTCTTCATACTGACTTACTGATGGGGTTTCTTTTTAAATAAACAAAGCAGGCATGGATTCTGTAACCCAAGGGAAAGCAAATAGACCATTGCTCTTTGAAGTTTGGCATGGCAACCTTCAAGTAACTAAGTGTAGTTGCTAATTGCATTTTTAAAGATCAGCGCCCCAAGTTGTGATTGATCCAAATCAATCACAATTCCTGTATTCCAATCGCAAGTTTGCTGTCCCCTATCTCGTATGAACATAGTTTCGATTGATAACAATCGCAATTAAGTTGCCATTGATATCAACTCTTTATAAGATGGGGGCCCAGTATGGATAAGTCATGACAGTTGATACAGTGAACCCTGTATATAAAGACCGGAAAGAGACAGGAAAAGCAAACTTTATACAAAATGTACATGGAGGTGGACAGGTGGTCTTTATGTACAGGTTTCTTTATTACACACTTCGATTAGAATTGCTTTCTCAAAGGAAACAGAAAATGTGGTCTTTATAGATACAATGTAGGTGGTCTTTCTATACAGGTTGTGGGTAAGCAAGTTTTAGTGTACATAGGGGATCTTGATTTAAGATGGAAACAAACCTGCTCAACAACCATCTGTATGTGAATACTACCTCTCTATAAAGACCACATTTCTGCTTTTGTTGTTATTTCATGTGAATAGTTTTCTCACAAATTTAGTCTGTATAAAAAAGAAACCATGCAGAAAGGCCACTTTTCTTGTCTTTGAGTGGTCTTTGTGTACAGCTTTCACTGTATCTACATTAAATTCAATTTCTTTTGAAAACTTGTTTTGTTTTAATCTATATGCAATGGAACCTGTATACTTTTCCTTGAGCAGTTTGATATTCTCCTGAAGAATTTTCTAAAAAATATTAATAATTTTCTTATCTGCTTTCCATTCATTGTTATAGGGAAGGGATGGTGCCGACAACGTTATGGAGAAAGAATTCCGACATCTCCATCAACTGAAAAAGGCTCTTGAATTGCAACTACGCTCAGTTCAGAAACAACTTCAGGTAAGTTTCACAAACCCTGCTTTTTGTTTTGGGTGTTCTTTTTTAGACATCATTATCGACTTTCACGTAGGGGTAGCTAGAGATGTTATAGTTATTGAAGCGGTTTGAATACTTGCCCGGGAAATAGTAGAAATGCAAAGGTCACAGGTCCAAGCCCCAACACAAGACTGATACCTTGGCCAGACCTGAATCTACTTTTGTTTCTCATATTAATTTCTTGAATGCACTGCACCGTGTTAGCTGGACCTAAAGCTGGAGAAATGAATCCAAAACTCTTTGAAAGGGCATCAAGAAAATGTTAGCCCTGTTACCATGATGATTATTGTGTCTAAATGTTGGTATGTATTTTATGTTCAGGTCTTGGATCAGTGTCGAAAGCGACTCAGTGCTGTCATCCAAGAAAGGAACAGGGTCCTAGACCTTCTATGCCACGCCGTCTCATCCGTCAATGGACGTGCTTCCCGCGGCGGCGGACGCGTCTCTCGCCAGGACAAGACCATGACCTTTGGCGGCAACGGCATGGGCTACACTCGCCAGGTCAACGGCAACGTTGCGGAGCTACTAGGTACAGGAGCCTCCCCACCAGATGCAGAGAATCGGTCGGGGACGCCCCCTCCGGACCCTCTGGGTCCTTTCACCCCAGAAGCAGCAGCGGCTATCGCTCAGGCCCGGGAAGCTCGTCAACGCTCACAGTTCCTGCGCAAAGACATTCGTGATGCCATTGAGAATACTCAGCAGCTACAGCAGGCTGCACACAGAGCCGTCAATGATGGCCTCAACCAGAAAGTGGCAGAGACTATCACACTGAAGGTACATTGCAGTATATCATAAATGGATCTAGGGTCTGTTTCATAAAACTTGTTATCTATAACAACTGCTAAATTTCTTTGACAAATTTGCTTTCAGCCAGTCAGATGCCATGATTTCAATAGCTTGCTTGTTATTGATAACAAGTTTTATGAAACAGGGCCCAGATAGTAAATTGATCTTCAGTACAAAGTGTAAAGTAGTACTCCATGACATTGCTAAGAATTCAACTATTTCTTCTATAATCTTAAATGCAGTAAATCTCTATAGATTACATTTAACATTCAAGATATTCACCTTAGGTCAATAGTTGTATTTTTGGTTCAGCTATTGCATATCCATCTTTAAATCAGCTGAATGAATCATTTTTTTAGTTGTCTTATCAACAGGGTATTTCATTGAATTATATATTGGCTAGGTTTGACAAATTTTGTAACATCCTTTTATCTTCTTTCAAAATTCAGCAACATCTAACGGTCGCTGCTGGTGAGAACCGCCATTCCATCCACCGTGCCCAGCGCTGGTACGATTCCACCGAGAAGGCCCTGGGCTACACCATTGGGCCTGAGCTGCAGTCCGACCTGGAGACCAGGGAGAAGCTGACCCGCCCTATAGTCCGGGTCTTCCAACGACACCCGGGCACAAACCTACCAGAAGCACAGGGTATCATTAGGGTAAGCAGGAGGAATTAGTCCTTTCACTTTTTTCTCCAAGGTTTAGGGGGGTTTTGGGTAGTATTCAAAGAATTTCTGTGTACCAATAAAACTTTATGGAGACCTACACCATAGTACACATACATGTAAATCATTTAATCCTTGTACAGCAAGTCTATCTACATGTACACAATTAAGTACTTGACAAGGAATCCTGTAAAACCAGTTCTTTTTAAAAAAATCTCTGTGTCCCTAAACCACACTCTAATCTAACTAGCAGTTTCTTTTTACCATTATCATTTTGATGAAATTGTATTTGTCGCAAGAATGCATGATAATGTTTATTTGTACATATACGTAAGGTAAACAAGGTGAAATGAATTGCACCTTCTACTGTGTCCCTACCAAAAGTTTTTTGTTTTTTTCTTCTTCTGCAAACTGGCCGGGGGCACTCCTGTAGAATAACTTTCATTTAACCTGTTCACTCCTAAATTCTCTCAATCTCTGGACTTAGTACATGAATGAGCCACCAAGTAACTTACAGTAGGCAATGGGTAAACATAATGTAGATGCTGATACAGTCAAACCTGCTTTAGTGACCACCTGTCTACAAAGACCACCTTTTTTGTTTCCCTTGAAAATGGTTTCTCATTGAAACGTGTACTATAGGCACCTGTCTACAAAGACCATCTGCCTATAACGACCACTTTTATTGTCTCCATTTGATGGTCTTTAAAGACAGGTTTCACTGTAGTCTGTATTTTTAGAAAAAAATCCCCCGTACTTCACGTTATTATTAACATGCTTCACTCTCCTCATCCCATTCTTCAGGGCGCTGCTGGCCTGGACGAATCGCTCCTCAGGACTAGTCGCAACATCGGCCTCCTGCAGCTGGCCCAGGGTCGTCTCCAAGGTGATATCCGACACAAGCACGCCGGTGCCAGCGTCGACTCCGCCATCGTACGGGGGCGACGTCGCCTTGCCAACCACCGATGGGTGATGGGAAGCGTTTGATTTTTTCCCGTCTGTCAGGTGGTGTTGCCAGTGTGCAGAAGAAAAAAAAAAAAAGCAATATATTCTTCTCTTTTTAATGAAAGAAATCATGTAAAGTATATCTGATAAACACATTTGTATAAAGTGCGGAGATGATTCTATCATGTGAGGTATATTGTATTTTAATTCCTAGGGAGTCCATAGTACGATGACCTAAAGGAGTCTGGATTATCTAACAAGACAACAAAGAGTAATTTCAGAGCAACTGTAAAATATCTCATTAAGTTCAGAAAATGTTTCTATCTGTCCTAATTGAGCATCACTAGCAAGTTATCTAAATATTAAATAAAATAATATAATATTAAGAATATATAGTTTAAAATTACTAGTCATACAATGTCTTGATATGCTATTTATTGCATTATAGAAATGATGACAAATTAAACATTTGTGAATAAATTGCATGTAAATCGAATGAAGTGTCACATTTTAATCTGCTAGGAAGTGTAAGTGTGCAAAGCACTATAGTTTTATGTCAAAGGTCACTCTGGTTCTAAATATGCTGTGAATGATTTGGAATGAAGTGGAATATATGGGACTTTTCGTTACATTGTTAGGAGTTTAAAAATGGTTGCACCTTGAAGAAAGTGTTGATGTCTAGTCTGTTTTATGTTGTACAGCTCATTCTCAGACCTTTATTTTTCATAGGATGAAATGAAGGCAGATTTCATGAGGACAGCTAGTAGTCTTTCATATAAAAAAGGAGGAGCATTAATAGACCACTCTGCATGCACAAACATTGTAGAAATAAAAGAGGCTACTGAACGGCAAGTTTAGAACAGGGTAATAAAATTTGCATTTTGGGTGTATCTATTAAGCCCTTATTGGCCGCTATATTCACCTTTGTATAAATAATAAAGCATAATGCTTAGGACGCTAAAGCTAGCATGTAAGATTATTTCAAGATATCGGCCTTTCAATGCGATTTGATTGTGCTGTAGAGGATATCTTTCATAGACCTTCTTCCAACCTTGAGGGTATTCAATGGTTGGATGGAGAAAACCAAAATCTTCAATGAGTTTTTTTTCACTACATGGAAGAGGTGACAAAGTTATTATTATGAAAATGATTATCAAGTCACTTGAAAATTCTCCAGTGAGGCAGAAAAAAAAAGATTATCATATTGTGGGGTTTTTGCTGTGTGCATGCAAAGAATTTTTTTTTATCAGGGTTCCGTTTGGAGCAAGAAAATCATCATATCATGATTCCTTACGACATTCCATTGCATGCAAAAGTTCATTTATGCCGATATAGATAAGAGATGAATTGCTTTTTGTATTTTTTGTGAGATTTGAACCGAAGAAGACGGTAATAGACGCAAAATCAAAGTTATATGCCTTATAGTTTGGAGAATGCCTTCACCGACTAGTCTAAATTGAGAGAAAAAATTGCCAATTGTCTTTGTGCCTTGCAAAATATTAGTTGCAAAAATTTCTTGACTATAGGTTGGGAAATAATGTGTATTGAGTATACCTTAGAATATACTATTGTTCTGATCCTACAGTAAACATGTTGTGTATATATACAGCTGCCTTATATATTTGTAAATAAGATGCACGATTGTACATCATCAATATTATTAATCAACGAGGTTTGTGCTAATTTTTCTTTTCCGTCCATGCTATCTACTTGAAAGCTGCGCTGTAATATTGATTCAGTAATAATTCTATGAAACGATTATATATTCTATGCATGAGATAAATTATGAGTGCTTTCTTTTTCTGTGAACTATGCAATCATACCAATACAAATCTTTAGTATTACAATTTTAGTATTTAGATAAATTATCTATGCATCAGTGGTAATATTTTAGCCTGTTAATTCCATGACAGGTCTGAAAATGTCTTAATTGTCTTAAAATGGACAGTCCAATTGACTATCAAGTTTGTGATCATAGAGATATGTCTTTTGCAAGCTTTTTGAAAAGTTGTGTGTAGCTTCAAGTTCATACACTTTAGTCAGATATTGTTGTTAGTCAATATTTCAAGTAGCATTAAGAATTACCATGAATCTGTGACCATATTTACAAACAAAATTGTTCTAAATTGTGCTCCATAAATCACTAAAGTTACACCAGGATTCAGTTAGTCCACCTTTATCTTGTTAAAGATTATAAGCCAAAATGTCTAATTCTATGGATGTAGATATTAATATGACATAATATTGTGTTTGATAAAATACGGTCATGCATATTTTCCTTATACCATTGAAATCCATGTTGCATAAACAGAAAGATGATGAAGAAATTGTAAACATGAAAGTTCAGTGACACAATTTGGTAAATCATGCAACTAGTTCAATGATATGTTTTGGGATTTTCCTCAACAAGTTACTGCTAAAAGACAGTAGCACACCGGTTTTCCAAATAACAGGTATTGGATCAATGGTGATTTTTTTTTTTTTTTTTTTTTTTTAATTGTTTGAATTCATGAGATGAGGAGAGCCAGAAGTAAAATAACAAGTTTTGATAATGCCTTTCATCCTCTCTACAGACGAAATTGTCTGCTCAGGGAATGAACATCATTTTAAAACAGAATTAATGTCCTTCGATCTGGCTCTCAACAATTCAAAGTTCTACCGTAACATATTATTTACAGAAGTTTGGTGTATTTTCTTATCTTGCAAACCATGCAGGTTTACCTAAAACATTCACTTTTCATACTGTGCTTTTATTTCTACAGAAGTTGCAATAATTGGTATTATTGTTCTGTGCAGTGGAATTATAAAGGTATTAAAAATATATAAAAACACATCTCTGTTGTTTGCTGGTGATCTCTGAGTAGCTAGAATGTAACATATTCAGGAGGAAGAGGGAGAAAGGGTGAGACCTCGAGGATGTGAGATGAGGGGAAAGGGGGGGGGGGGGAACGTGGAGAGACCGGGGAAGAGAGATTGAGACTTGAAATGGAAGGCAAAAAGAAATTGGGGAAAAGATTAGCAAGAATTTAGAATCTAATCCAGATTTTACTTTGATACCCCCCCCCCCCCCAACCCCCCACTTTTAAGAGAGATTGAAAATTGAAAGGAAAGGCAAAAATAGATAATAGATTAGCAAAATTTAGATTCCAATGCAGATTTCACTTTAAGATTTGATTTTTTAAGCGCTCCCAAAACAACCATTTGTATGATGTTTTGTTTGTTTGGTACAAACTTTTTTCACTCGTGTCGCAGACCGGTCGCAAACGCACTGATGGCGCCACTTCACACTTTTCAGTAGCCACTGGTTGGTCACGAATAGGCGCATTTTATCAACGTGTGTGCTTGCCCAACAAAGCAACACTGGGTTCGTGACTATTAAATAGGAACGAAGTTGGCCAAACTCTGTAAATGCATGCCTCAATCTGTTTTCGAATATATTTGAAATTACGAGCTTGATAACGACAAGGAATTGAATGATTAACCAAATTATCCCATGCTGACTGATTTGACGTAAAATAGAGTGAATGTTATAACCCTCCTTCATGATAGAAATGAAATATAAACCAAGATCCGGGACCCAGATACACTGGTATACGTGCAGGTGATTATTATCACAGTTTGAAACGGGGGCGGATCCAGGATTTGTGAAAAGAAGGGTACATAATATTGTTTATACCGTGTTCCTAAATTCTGACGAGCAAAAAAGAGGGGGGGGGGTCATAAAAATATTTATTTCGGTGCCATTTTGCTCCAGAATTCTCCAACAAACAAAAAAAAAGAAAAAGAAGAAGATTGAAATAGAAGAAAAAACAAGAAAAGGAGAAGAAGAAGAAGAAGAAGAAGAAGAAGAGAGTCACTACATCGAAGGGGACACAGCCACTCAGCCATGATATATCCCCCACCCCACTCCCTAAATCTGTCAGTGGCTTGAAAGGCCATCAGTGAAGATGTTTTCAACTGTTGACAACGCAAGGACTGGCTTCTTATCTCCTTGATAACCGAGCAGCAATAATTTAAAGTCGTATATCTTAATCAAACATAGTTTAGCTGCAAACATTTTGTCTCAGTCTTCAACATCGTACACTGGGATAGAATATGTTCAGTTGTGTAAAATGAAAAATACCCCCCCCCCTACTCACACACACATACATACTCCTCCTAAATCCTAAAAAAGAAGGGAAACAACACAACAACAATCAGGAGGGAAAAAAACAGCTATAGCTCCTTGCATGGTTTATAAGACTGTGATTTAGTATACTTTATATTATTATAATTTTCATCAATAACTATTTCTTTCAAACTTCCAGTTCTTCTTACTTGTCTCTATTATCTTATTTGATATTTCTGTTGTTCCAATCTTCTTACTTTTTTTAAATTTTTTTTTACTACTTTAAAGAGTCATCGTCTACGCGGCATCAATATGGACATCTATATTAATAATTCCGTAAAACGTGACTTGTTATGAACAAAAAAGTGAAACACAATCACATGAGCTGAACTCCTGATGACTGAAATTTAATAAGGGTCTATTTTTGTTAACACCCCTACCCCCCCCCCCCCCCCCGCTCCTTTTTTTTTTACTTCCAGGGCCGGAGTCCCTATATCGACCCCTGAGAACAACTTCGCTGCTTTGGGGGTGTGGCACATTGCAATTTAAATGGAATTGAATAGAAAGAGTGGTAATACAAAAATGGTGACAGAGAGAGAGAGAGAGAGAGAGATAGCGAACGAGAGAGCTGAGAAGGAATAGATGGATAGATGGAGAGAGAGTGAGAGAGAGAGAGAGAGAGAGAGAGGGGGGGGGGGAAAGAGAGAGGGGGGGGGGAGGGGGGGGGGGGGAGAAATAGCGAAAGAGAGTGATGAGAAGCTAGGGAAAGATGGAGAGACACACACAGAGAGACAGAGATAGAGAGAGACAGACAGACAGAGAGAGCGCCTAAAAAGTATTGACTTTTTTTTCCTGAAACTATTTTTTTTTTCTTCCTCAAAAGCTTAGCAATTGGTTGTACAATTGAGTTTTGCTATTGATCGCAATCATCATTATGTAAAATAAATCGTATTACTAAGCTTTGCGTTACCTGGTAATATGTCTGTATATTCTAAATAATGAGATAAGATATGTGAGAGTTAGTAGACTATGAATCTGGAATAAATATAAACAGTATAAATAAGTATAAATTTGGAAACAAAAGAAAATCTAAATCAAGAAATGATAGGGTCGAATCTTTTTCTATATGAGATAATCATATCAAAGATCCATTCCTAATAATATTCAAGGCCCCTCGGACTGAGCCATTAAATCATTTCAATACATATAATTAGGAAACTGAGCAAGATATAAATATAAGTCCGCCAAAATCTATTTTAGAACGGGTTGTATGTTTCTTTTTTAATACACCCCCTTCCTTCTTCTTTCTCTCTCTCTTTCTCTCTCCCCATTCTCTCTCTCTCTCCCTCTCTCTCTCTCTCTTTCTCTCTCTCTATCTATCTATCTACCTATCTCTCTCTCTCTCCCTCTCTCCCTCTCTCCCTCTCTCTCTGTCTGCCTGTATATCTGTCTGTCTCTCTATCTCTCCCTACTCTCTCTCGATCTCTCTTTCGCTATTCTCTCTCTCCCTCTTTCTCTCTCGATCTCTCTGTCAGACCATCGCTTTCTATTCAATTTGATACTGGCATCCTCTATCATGCTTCACAATAGTTACCACAACAACCACCAACTTCATTAAATCATCATCTCAGAATATATGCCAAGCTCACGTAATATCGGTGAGGAGTTATCCTAATGACCCGTTATAGAGATGACATCATCATCACAAAGACAAAGTTAACAAAAACAACAAACACAAGGCTGGTGGAAAACCGAAAGATGACAGGAATGGCCAATTGAAATATACATGAATTTGCGGGTTACGACATTTTACAAACAAATGATACAATTTATCCGAGCGTTAGATGGCTGAATGTGAAGCTGTGAAACCCAAAGTAAGTAAAAATTGATGTGAAGGCGGTGTATCTTGTGTTTGTTTTGCATCATAATGACATAATGAATGGTTGATGTTAATGTGTGTCCCATACGTAGCTTTAGGCGTTAGTAGAATTAATGTGTTGTATGAATGTGACAGTTTATCGCTCGCCTTGTTTTTCATGTTGCCCCAATGAAATGTTACTCCTTTGATTTTGACATGTGTACCCGTAGTCCTTAGATTGCATTGTCGTTTTTTAAGGCTATGTTGAAAGAGTCATTCCAGCTCAGATGAAACTAGAATGTTGTTGTTTTTGTTATGGCAAGCTGTCATTTGAAAAAAAAATTGTTTTCTTTATTTTTCTTTATTGTAATTTGTATAGAGTAAAGAAGCCCGTTTTCGGCCACTTAAGACAAAATCCTATTTTTAGGACCCTTTACTTCCTATTTATTATCATTCTTTGTTCAAATCATGAAGCAAATATTATTATTATTTAAACAAAACAAGAATCCCAGAAAAAAATCACGAATTGCCATGACAATATTCATTTCAATTTTCACTGTTTTGGAGCCAGTTATCGGCCGAGCGTTCCAGTTTACGGCCGCATGTACAAAGTCAATAGGAAGCGCTCGCGCGCGCCGTGCGTTTCCGCGCTGATGTACAGCACAAGCGGGCAGAGCAGGTATCCCACGCCGGAGCTCCCTGGTGCTCGCCTGGCCGAAGACAGGCACAGCGGTGATCGGAAGTTGGAATCTGAATTAGACAGAGATATCGTGTGTGCGTTGCGGTGTGCGGCTGCATTGATTTAATACATGCGATGAGATACTTTTGAGCTTGCGACTAGCACAAAATCGGGCTCTAAATCTGAAAAATACTTGAAATAAAGCTCATTTTATGGTACCCATATTTCTTACAGACACGCGTAAGATACTCGATTTTTCAGATTCGGGTAGCGGGACCGCCGATTACATCGCTAAAATGTGATATTTTAGGATATATTTTTCATTGCAAATTTGGTTCTTCAGTGACACTGGCATGGTATGGTATGTGTGGGATATGTGTTATGCTATTATGCGATGTATTTAGAGTGATTTTACCTTGCATCCAACCAATCAGCCGAAAACTGGAGCTGGCCGATTACCGGCTCCTTTACTCTATTTGGTGTAAAATGGGTAAAATGTGAGTTATCATTGTCTGTGTGATTTGTCATATATCACTTCCGCATTGAGACACAGTTTAAATAATTGAGTGTGCCAATAGGCCAGTTTCGGCGGTTACGTAATGCGCGGTTACTGTAACCAAGCCCGACAAGCTTTGTCAAATCACCATTTTGAATCTGTGCATTGTGTATTAGACTGTCGGTTCTTGCCGTTAAATTTCATTCATATCTTTCTATCAAAACTGCGTGTAAATATATGAATTTCTGTTTTGGCCGGAAATGTCTTCCAACTTGCCATTCATCAAGCTGAGTTTCAGGCAGCTGCAATATTTTCTAAGAAAAAGAGGAGTTTCGACTATGGTATACACCCGAGAAAAGACTCGTTAAATTAGCGTCCGCAGTAGCGGACTAGCCTGCCCGTAGCCCCTGACCTGCGGGGTCCGTGTCACTCGGTAGACGTGACTGTATGGGGAAATTACAAAGGACAGGATTTTCGTTAAGTGAACTATAGTTACATACCTCCCTTAAGTTTGACGATATTCCTGACTTTGGGACCTATGACGTATTCAATTATCTAGTAGAGAATATGGCGGACCATGCATTTATGATCGTCGAAAACTGAAGGCTTTTAAGAGTTTTGAAGACTTTCGATTGATATTTCCCGATGGCCATAGATTATGTGGCCTGGAGAAGCTCGAGTACAATCCTCCCTCTAGTTAGCTCTCGGCAGCTTATGATAGCGACTTGTGACTAGATTATACAGGTCAAACTGACGCAAAAAGACAGAACATACCAACTTGAACAAAAAGAAAAAATATATAAATAATAAACAAATAAAAAGTAGAAGTCTAGACTAGATCTAATAGAAAATGTAATAACAGTTTTATTTTTAAATGTTTTTTTTAAATAATAATACTTGCTTCTTGAAGTTGAATAACGAAGGTCCGGCATAATTGTCCTTGTTTTTACGAAGTGACGGTAGTGAGGAAAATCGTAACACAAAGTGAATGCAATTTTTTTTACTACCGTCACTTCGTGAAAACAGCGACGAATTGTAGTCTAATACATTAACTTTTATTTTATGAAAATCAAACTTAATTCCTAATCTTATTCTAAACAATAAAATTATTCATCATCCTGATTCTTCTTCCTTGCCATCATAAGGTTTTTTTTTATTACTTTTATTATTCCCTTTTTCCATTGCTCTATCATTCTTTTTCCTTGTTCATTGTTTTTCTTCATTTTTTCCGTTCAAAATTATTTGTTTATCATTATCCATCATTCTTATTCTAGCTTTCTAGATCTGTCATCGGACGATATTATTTTATAAATATTATTTTATTAACAAAGACCTTATATATTATATTATTACCTTTATTGTCATTATTTCTCGTTGCTTTTGTTTATAATATTGATTCTGCGGTCAGTGCTTGCTTCTCGTTAGCCGTTTCTCGTCCGCCTTGAAATAGTCCGTATCGAGGCGTTTCACAAACATTTTTTAATCCGTAAAATTGTTTTCATTTTGAAAATGTGAATCGCGCCTACACGAACACGAACACGTGGTACGCGCGCACGCTTCTGCAAGCAGAGGTGACTGTGTGACAGTGTGCGAACGAGTGGAAAATAGTTCATCACTTCTTTCATTTCTACGTCCTAATTTGTACTCAGATTCAAGCTTAGGTAAATGCAAAATTGAATGGAAATTGCCGATATCGGCTAGCTAACTTATATTTTGGTGCTTCGCTTTCTGTTTCATCACTGGCTTTCAAGCCAATATCGCTTGTATCATCGACCTTGTTTTTCTTCTTTTTGAGGGGGTATCGTGCGCTGCCTGTACCGGGGACTTGGCCGAACAGGTTTAGCTGCAAGATGTGAATCGCTAGTTCTGTACCAGCAATGCTTTTCTATTATTCTTGCCTAAGACTCGGCGATTTTAAAGATCAAATGTATGAAGAACAAAATCACATCTCAAAGATATTTATTATTCAAGTTTGAAACTGCCTCCTTTTTCTTCTCTCTCTCTCTCTCTCTCAAAATAGCGAAAACAAACTATACAATCACACCTAGCGAACACAGTCATGTATGGTATGCACGCAAAGTGTAGTCTGCTACGCACCGCGAGTTCTTTGCTTGTCCGACCCTCCGATTACGTAATGCGATTTAAAGGTCTCTGAATACATTAGGAAACTGGCCTATTGATAATGACGACCCAACATGTGGAAGCACTTAGACTTAAAAGTTGAACATTTACTAGAGACAGTGTAACTTGGAAAGTCGTAGAAAAATCTTGCATGCAATACTTTCCAGTACTAAATTTTAAAGTATGCAATGCGCATCAGTTCATGACTTGATCACTTGATACATGCGTAGCATAGCACTGCGCGTGACAGGTGTAGAAATGAAAGCACTTATCTCTTCTTTTACTTCTAATTCTTTACTAATACTCGCCAAAAGCATTTTAAGCAACTAAACAAGGAAATTGTGGCATGGTACGTCTCTCGTAGTGGTCACAATTGATAAGTGGAGCCTGCGTATGTGTGTGCCCTAAGTAAGACTAATAAACCTGAGGTTTACTTGTCACCTATAATGACACAAAACGATCTTGAAAAGTTGAAATTAACTCTTTTGTAGCAGGGAAAAATACAAGGGGGCTTGGGGCAATTTCGCTCCCAAAATGCCCAAAAGAGCCCCCCCCCCCCCCAAGTCTTAATAGAGCCCCCCAAAAAATTGCATAGAGTTCAATGCAAAACAAATTAAAGAATGTTATTTTCATGCAAGCAAGCTTAAAAAGTAGCCCCCAAAATTGTTAAAATATTTTTTCGATAGCCTGACGGCTTTGTACAATAGTTGCATACATCCTCAACTCAAGTGTGGATAATTGTAGGATAAACTCATTTGCATGCATCATTTGAAATTTTGTATAATATTTGATATTGTGTATACCCCCCCCCCCCCCCCCATAGACCCGTCCATGTGTTTGTATTTTTCTTGCATGTACATGTAGATCATACCCTTTCCATGCATATTTCTCTTTGTGCCATAGGTCCCCCAATGACCCCTGACCCCATCCTCTTAATTCCAGGCCAGCTTTGACTGTAAAAGTTGTAGGCATCAAGTGGCTTGTGATAAGTGAGTGGAAGTTGCAATGTTGTTATTTTTGATGTATTTGTGTTTTACTTCCTGAGTGCTACAGAAATTTTAATTACAAAAAATGCCTTGCTTACATGTAGATGGTTTTTTTAGAATTTGGTTTGGACTGTATAAAAATCAGATTCAAGACAGGACTAAATATTGTTGAAATATATTGAAATCGTTATTATTGTTGTTCAATTTACATTCTTACAAAAACTTGTGATACACAGTCAGAGCAGATGTATGTTAATTTTGTCTGGTTATAACAAGTGTTTTCCCAATATCCTTCCTAAAGTTCTTGCTTTTTCTCAAACTATTCATTTTATTTCTGATGCATGCTCCCTAATTTTCATATCTATCAAAACAAATGTTAACCTTCTCATATTTTAGGGGACTCCTCTTACAAGGTGAAGAAATCACTGAGTGAGGGGAGAGCTTTAAAGAGGGTCAATATCATCTTCTGTTCATGTTGCCATCCCCTCCCTCCTAGTACCCTTTATTTCTATATCTTTCTCTCTTTTTCTTTTCCTTTTATTTATTCCTCATTTTGTTAGTTTATTTTAGTTTTGTTTTACACCTTTCTTTGGGGATGGGGCCAGTGGTCTATATCACTGATGTGATGCTAGTGGTACCAGACACGATTAGTATTTAATGCTATTTTCAGGTCCCATTTATCCTTTCAATGTCAAACATTCACATTTGATTGTTATATTGATGTACTTTTGAATAATAAAACTTCAAACTCAAACTCAAACTCAAACTCAAACTCAAACTCAAAACTTCTTTATTCTCTAGTCTAAGAAACCTGACAGTGCCCACAGAGAGGAGGAGGAGGGAGGATCCAAGACCCAGTCAACGGGGAGTGAGGCCCACTCCTCACCCACTAAGATGCCTTTCTTTAAGAAGAAGCCTACAGAGCCCAAGAGCAATAAGGATGTCTGGGAGGTAGAGGTGATAATGCATAAGCAGAGCAATGAGGCTAAGAAGCGGATGGAGCACTGCCAGTTCTTGGTGAGTAAGATGTTGATAATAATGATGATGATGATGATGATGATAATGATAATTTTGTTAAAGATAAAGATAGGCAGTGGTAAAATTGCGGTTCAAGAGTTATCCATTCAATATTGTTAAATATTGCCTTCAGAGGTTTTGATGGCAATACTTCAACCGTAGTTTGCAAAAAAGCAGAAATATATGCCCAAATGTTCAATGTTGAAGTGCATTCACGATATCTATCCAGGCCGCATCGATATGATAATTTACCAAATATTTCAATTAGTATACGGTTTCCCGGCATAATTTGTATCATCACGTATTAGTCAAAACATATTGTTTCACATGATTGGTAAGGAGCTTCCATTTCATTTTTGAGAGGGGAGCATTCCAAAGCTGGTCTATACCTTTAACCTAAGGAAGCATCATCATCATCTTCATTGTAGTTGTTATTGCCCCAGCAATTGCCAGGTACCAATTCAATCTGGGTGGAGAGTGGCAACTGTGGATCAATGTCTTGCTAAAGGATGTTGTTGTAAGGCTGGGATTTTAACCCTTAACCACAGTGCCTCCAACTGCAACACCTGTTGCCAAATGGTGATTTACTCATCAATACTCATCAAATCAGTCATTGAGGGTAGAAAACTAACTTCAAATTTGCTTAACTTCAGACAATATAATCCTCAAATCTTGTGATGGAAAACTCCCAAATATCATTTGGTCAATTTTTGCTTTATCAGTGTTGTTTGAAAAATTAAAGAATATGCCTACTATAGTTTTCCTTTTTTTAAAATAAATCTCTCCTCCTCTCCTTTGTAATATTATAGGCTCAAGCTTCACCGGAACCGAACTATGATTTATCAAAGTGTGAGCTGACAGAGGTAAGTTGGGGTATATGATTTTCTTTGGTAGTACCTCCCCTCCCCCCATCTCTCCCATCAAAAGAAAAATATATGAATATCCTGAAAGCAGTTTTCAAAAAGAACTCTGGCAAAGTAAAAGAAAAGAAGAACAGTGGTGCAAAATTTAATTCAGTTCAATTTATTCTTTCCACAAGTCTATAAAAATGACAATAAGAACATACAAAAGCAATGCAGTAAAGTTCTAAAGAAATTCAACACAATGAAAGGTATAGTACATAATTACAATAGATACAATTAACAAAAACATATCAAAATGTGGAGGGACAAACAAAGACTAAAGGTCTATCTTGGGCTTGTCCCCAGAACTATATAATGGATTATGATATACAATTAAGTATTTGTAAAAAATCAGTGCAAGAAAATGTCACTATATGGCAAATTTTGTCTTTCTTAAATGCACATGAACCAAAAAGTTTTGTTGTTGTTAAATATATATCAAGTTAAACTACCACTCTCTCCATTCCAAATAAGATATTGAAATATTCAAAGTAGTTATCTCCTTGTCTTTTGTTTTTCTTCAGAAGAGTCAACATTAAAGAGAAAACAAACCAAACAGTAAATGAACTTGGATGCAAGACTAATCTCGAAACAGTGCAATACAAGTTCATATTCATCATGTCAATTGAACTTCAAAGGGCTCAATTACGTTTGTTTCCTACTTACATATGGGTCATCTGTAATCCATTAGTGCTCTTTATCTTGATTAACGACTGACATGCCACAAGCAACCGGGAGGTGTGTTCACATGGTGGAGATGTATTCACATACTGAATTGTAATCGACTGATTTTAGATTTTTGTTGCAATCCAGGTTGCTTATAAAGCTAGGAAGCTTTAAAACATGTACATGTAGTACATTATCCATATTGATAATAAATCGTCGGCTGAGAGCCAGAATGGCATTAACTCATACTTTTACACTACAGTTAAAGGTACTACATGTATGTCCCTTTTGCAGCCAACCTCAAATGCTGTAGAACTTTGCAGGAATTATGAATATGTCATGTATGTCCTATCTGTGAAATTTAAACGTTAGCAGTGTCCTCATATTCAAATTATGCAAGGAAACCCGTTTACTTGCTAGACTTCATTGTCAGACACTATTGAGTGACTGACTGGCCTTTTTTCTTCTTTGGTAATAACATACATGATAAGAGTTGTAAAGGGTACATGAGCATTTGTCTACATCAATAACCCACTTCTTGTGATGGCCAAGATTAAACTGATTGAATCTTTGCGCAGCATAAAACGTATGACCATTCGGTACAATTGTCTGAAAATCAAGACTATTACTTTTGGGCTCTATAGCCCTAAAGTCGATTTGACAACTAATATTCATTATTTTCCCACTTGAAGACATTTTCAAGCCCCACCTTTTTTTAGGGAAGTTCTAAATTAGTATTATCTTTCAAATGCAGTTGGAATTTAACTTTTTCATTTTTTGGGCCTGCAAATGGGACATAGTCCCTTTAACACCCATCTGGCTCTCGGCAGATAAATACATGCATATATAGTTAGGTATAAAAATGACTCAATATTTTTGATAGGTTGATTCAAATATCATTTATTTGGAGCCAAAAGGGCATTAAGTCATTAACCCATTTTTTGGTATTCATGCTTTTCTGTCTTTCTACAGATGCTAGAAATGACTGTAATGAATTGGGATAAGAACTATTTTTTTCTTCAAACCTTGTTTGATTCCATCAAAGTTTCTAAACGTAAAAAGAGAATAAAAAAAAAAATAAAAAAAAAAAACATACCGGGGGTTGCTATTTTGTCATACCGTATCCCCTATTTGTTTTCCTAGCATTTTTATTAAAGTTATTAAAGGTATTACAAAGTTTTGGGAAATTTTGAAAATTAGGTGGATAGTGATTCTTTACAATTTTGATATATTTGGATGCCCCCAAGGATGTATTATTATAAGCACTAGAAAATTTAGCCCCTAAAACACTTTTTCTTTCGAGAAAAATTGAATATTTCAAATAGCGCCTACGGCCATACAATTGTAGCTGCGACCATGAAAATCTCAGAATATGTAGTTGTGACATATAGTTTCCAAACGGGAATATCTAATTAGTTGATTCTAGTCAAGAAACATTGTTTTATAGCTAAATCAATATATTGACCTTGAGAGGGAGCATAAACAGTTTATTATTTAAAATTTCATAACTTTAGACTTGATTACAACCGCGACAACGATCACTGAATATTGTAGGATCGCATATGCTTCCAATATGTTCATTTGAACCAAATTCATGACCCCATACCAAAACTCTGTATTACCTTTCATATATTTTGATAATACATAACAACACATTTTGAAGTTATAGATGTTTGTGTGAACAGTTCCTGGGCACGTCGGTCATTGTTTAGACTGACGTGTTACATACCTAGAATTCTAGACTGCAACTAGAGTCGTGATGTATCTCCCTCTATCATCTTTCCAATCCTGATACCACGTCTTGGAAGATTCCATTTTCTACTGCGGGTAGCGAGGGAAGTGTAGGAACAGGAAAATCACAAAATCGCTTGTAGGCTGAAAAGATCACACTTTTACAAAGTTGCAAAATAGCCCTTTATTATGAATTTCATGCAAGCGTGATAACTTTCTCAGTTGTAGTCAATTAAAGGTTTCTTGTATCAGAAATATTCCTGAGATTGATTTAATAGATGCCCCTCCTTACCTGTGCCTAAAATGGAACAATCCCGTCGGATGTTAGTTATAGGTCTTCCATCTTTAACCATGATCCAGACTTCACCAAAATAGCATTGTCGACATGTACAGCGAATAACTTTCTCCTAGGGTATCTGGATTATAGATGGAACAATTTTTAATTTTTTTTATTCTTCACTTTCTTTTGTCTGTTGCTCTAGGTGCTAGCGGGAACATATTCTCAGTGCAAGGTGTTAAGAAAAGAGGTGAGTACATAGAATATATGATTTTATATATCAGGGGGTTGTTTCACAAAGATTCTAAGTCGAACTTAACTCTATGTTGGACTTAAATATTATGGAGAGCCATTTGTAGACTTATAATGAAATATGTTCAAAAGCAAAAATTCAAGTATTTTAGACTTTTCATAAATTCCGCATCAAGAACATGAAATCTCCCATGATAATAGAAAATATGAATGATTTGAATCAACATTTGGTGCCTTTTAAAATAACTTTTACTGAATATTTTCAAGGATGCTAACAGCTTTCCATAATTGTTAAGTCTAATTGATAAGTTCAACTTAGGATCTTTGTGAAACACCCCCCTGGATGTAATATGCATGTACTGTTATGACCCTCCTGAGTAATAGATTTGGACAAATTGACATTTTAGTCATTTTTTTATTGGAACAAATGAGACATTTGTCTGCTACTACATCACAGTGAAATTTCTGATTTGGCCAATTTGAGTTCCTTTACGCATAGTGATCTGTCTTTCAAAAATGCATAAATTTCTTATTTCATTCAACTTTTATCAATCTCCCTGTCTAATAATTTTGCTTTCCTTTGGAATAGCTGCTATTGATGATGATGATGATGATGAACAGCATTTGTATAGCGCCATTTATCTGCAAAAGCATTCAAAGGCGCCTGGCTCCCTCAATATGTCACATATTATTCGCAATGTTGCCGGAAAAGATAGGTTTTGAGTTCAGATTTAAAGGTATCAATGTTGTTACAATTTCGAAGTTGGACAGGTAGAGAGTTCCAAAGATGCGGAGCAGATGAAGAGAAGGCTCTATCCCCGTATGTTTTTAGACGGGTACTGGGCACTTGAAGAACGAGTCCCGCACAGCGTAGTCCTGGTCGTAGCTGACGTACACTGATGAGAGCAGATACATAGCCAGGGGACAAGTTATGTAGAGCCTTAAATGCAAGCAGCAAGATCTTATACTGCACTCTGCAGTGCACTGGCAGCCAATGAAGCTCATGGAGTGTAGGCGAGATGTGGTCAAACTTCCTGATTCCCATCAGAAGGCGAGCAGCAGCATTCTGGACCGCCTGGAGACGTTTGATGGCTGATGATGGTAAGCCGACAAGGAGAGAGTTGCAGAAATCCAGCCTTGAGGTTATTAGAGCATGAATGAGGTTTTCCGCGGCACTTCTGGTGAGACAGTGTCTGATCTCTGCAATCCTGCGGAGATGGTAGAATGCAGACTGACAGACACGCGAAATGTGATCCTTCATGCTCATAGTTCTGTCGAAGACTACTCCAAGATTTCTAGCCTTGTTGTTGGGAGATACAGCTTCCTCACCGACTAGAATAGGAGTACCAGTGATCTTATTTCCCATGTGTGGTGAAGACAAAAGGAGATACTCGGTTTTCTTTTCATTTAGCTTCAAGAAGTTGCGTCTCATCCAACATCGAATCTCTTCGATGGCAGCACTGATGGCTGCAGCTGCACGTTCCTCAGCGCCTCCAACTTTTGGATCAAAAGTTAGGTAGAGCTGGGTGTCGTCTGCATAGAAATGTGCGCTAAGACCATGTCGCTGTATGATAGAGCCAAGAGGGGTGATGTAGAGTGTGAAGAGCAAGGGACCGAGGACAGAGCCTTGCGGAACTCCGTAGCTAAGGGTGGTCTCAGGTGATAGCTTGCCATTGATGACCACAGCTTGTCTTCTGTCGTTGAGGTAAGACTCAAACCATTGGAGTGCAGTTGCTTCAATTCCAAAATCTTCTCTAAGTCTCTCAAGCAGAACAGCATGATCGATGGTATCAAATGCAGCTGACAGGTCAAGCAGAACTAGGGCAGCTGCTTTTCTGCAATCAATTGATGTTAGGATGTCATCCGAGACCTTCAGTAGTGCCGTCTCCACACTGTGATTCTTTCTGTATGCAGACTGTAGGCACTCATGTAGATCATTGCCCTGCAGATAAGCTGTCAGACGACTTGCGACAATTTTCTCAGTCACTTTGGCCAGAAAAGGCAAATTTGATACTGGGCGATAGTTAGCCAGATCGTTGTGATCAAGTGAAGATTTCTTCAATACTGGGGTAACATATGCCAGTTTCAGACAGTCTGGGAAGACTCCATCACGCAGTGACGCATTAATCAGACACGTAATATGCAGAGCTAGGAGGTCACCGTGTTGTTTAACAAGAACTGTAGGCACCGGGTCAAGCGAACATGTCTTTGCAGAGGTCTTGTGAATTATCCGCTTGACTTCCTCTGGACATGTAGGATGTATCAATGTCAGATGGGCATCACAATCACGTGAAGGCTGTCCGTTTGGGAGGACCTGAGTTGCTGGCATACACTCCCGGATTTTCTCAATCTTTCCGACAAAGAAGCGAGAGAAATCAACAGCAAGGTCATCATCAGTTAAATGCTGAGGCATTTTCTTTGACGCTGAGGTTTTCTGATGAAGAAGTTGGCTGATTATACCGTACAAGGCCTTCTGATCACTGCCACACTCCATAATGAGGTCGTTCCAAAACTCTGACTTCGCCACTTTAAACAACTCTTTGGTGAGGTTTCTTTGATCCTTGAAAAGTTGTTTATCAACAGAGAGCCCCGTCCTTCTCCATTTACGCTCAAGTTGACGTCGCTTTCGCTTAGCGTCTGCTATTTCCTGGTTATACCATGGAATGGCTGGATGATCAATGATGACACAGGATCGCTGTGGAGCATGTCTGTCAAGGAGTTCTCCCATAACCACGTTGTACTTATGTAGTAATGTTTCAGCTGTTAGTGATGCATCAGATGATGATAGCTCGGACTTCTCTATGTCTGAGCTGAACGTGGTGGAATCAATTGCCTTTATCTTGCGAAACTGGATTACCCTCTTGACTGCCTTTGGCTTCCTCAAATGCAGCTTACAGTGAATAGCTGAGTGGTCGGACAAAGATTCGCCTATCTCTACAGTCTCCAAGCATTCTTCGCCAACCCGTCCAATAACTAGATCCAATGTATGGCCAGATTCATGGGTAGGCCCAACCACATGCTGCTGAAGGTTATGATCATGCAGTAAAGACATAAGCCGGCTTGTCTCATTAGAATTCTCATTCTCCCAGTGGACATTAAAGTCTCCAAGTATGAGTAATTTACCAGTGAAGAGAACATACTTATCCAGAAGGGAAGAAAACTCTTGGATGAAGTCACTGAAGCTTGACCTATTTTTCGACGAAGGCGGAGGGCGATAAACAATCGCTAATTTTAAAGTAGCATTGTCATAACTCAGGTCGCATTCCGTTATCTCAAAGGATCTGGGTTTGTCATGGCCAAAACCCTGGGCCTTCACATGGAGGCTGGACTTATGAAGTAGAGCAACCCCGCCACCCCTGCGATGTTCTCTGGGAACACTGATGAGACTGAAACCCGCAGGTGTGATATTTCCGGCAGCTACACTGTCATTTTCCTTAAGCCAAGTCTCTGTCAATGCTAGCAAATCTAAATCATGATCTTTCAGATGGTCAATGATAAGGTCAGATTTATTACGTGAAGACTGGCAGTTTATCAATCCTACCTTTAGTTGCCCATTAGTACGTCCTTCTTGCTGTTGATTGATATTCTGATGATTCCTCTTACCACCTCGGATTCCTCTGTGACCAGACCTGGGTCTCCTGATGTCTAAGTCGACCAGTCTGTTGTAGTCAGAGGCAGGGAGTCTCCTCTGATCATATGTCATGTGTATCCTTATGCAATAGAGCTCAGTGCATGTATACTGCAGCATAGTCAATTGTATGATGAGAGGTATTGAAAGTCAAGTCAAAAGCCAAGGGCATTCCAACTAGATGGCACAGTAGGAATGACAAAAGAGCACAACAAAGCTCCATTCATCCACTTGTGCATCACTGAACATGAATGGTGACAGGCAGGGAAAGTGAACTCTCAAATTTCCAACTTCAATTTAAACATATGGGACACACAGTGTAAAATCCAGACATCCAGCTGAAAAAAGGATGGACAATCTCAGACAAATGTGATGAAGAAGAACCGCCAACATAGCATCAAAAAGTATCCTTAAGGTATCCAGTAGAAGGTGTTAACCAGCAGACACTAATATTTCCAGCAAAAATGCGAAAAAAACATGAAATCTTGGAGGAGCCAAAACTGGGTCGCCTTGCAGGGCGCACACCCAACCTCAATAGTTTTCTGACGCTCAGGTTGGGTTCTCCTTTAATTTTGTAATTGTGGGACACCCTACTTATCCCTTTCAAGACAGGAATTATTTTTAGGGCTACATTGATCAAATGTTGGTCTTCAAATTGGCAACAATAATATTTTCTTTTATTGCTTTATTGTTGAAAACAAAATGTAACGTCTCTCGAGATAATATACATGAGCGAGAATATTGTCAAAAAAGTTGGAAAAGTGGCCCATTTTTATTCTAAAAATGATTTTAAATGGCTCAACATGTTGCCAAATTAGGGATTTCAAATCTTATTTTCCATGTAAATGTAGCGTAATAACTTGTGTTGTTTTAGTTTATTCTATTTTAGTTAAGAAAGTTACATTTCTGTGATAGTAATACATGTATGTACAGCGCCATGAGCGTCAGAGCCTGGCGGATACCGGCGCTATATAAATATCCATATTATTATTATTAGAAGATTCCTGGTATCAAACGCAGTATAATAATGAAACAAAAAGGAATGTAGTACAGTATGTGCAGAATTAAAAAAAAAAAAATTCTACTCATGCATCTGGCAATTTTTTAGGGCTCTGAATAAAAATGATTGATCCAAACCACAAAATGTGAAATGATTGTCGAGAAAGGGTGAAAAATCAAAACCATACACAGGCTGTTCCTAAAGTAATAATGTATAAAAAGATAGTACGGTAGCAATACATTAAATGCAATACATAAGGGAAAATACAATATATATATTTAAACTACACCTCACAAGTACGAAGTTGAACACCTCTCCCCTTTGCATGTAAAATTCTATCATGAATGCATCTGACATCACTCACAATCATGAAGCAATGCTTGTTTACAAGGTTCGCCATTCCAATGTGTATTTATGATCAACAAGAACAAGGAATGTTTTCCTTCTCTCATCCAAGGCGATGACGACTGTGGTAAAATTATCTGATCTATGGCGCCATCCCTTCACGATTTATAACCTCTCTATATAAATATCATGATGTATTAGATACCATTATGGATAACATGTAGAGTACACACATGTATATGCACATGTATTATACCAACTCAGAAGAGGGGTCATTGAATTTAAGGGAAAAACCATCCTGATATGAAGTGTGGTTTTGAAGAGAAGCAGAAAAATGAGAGAAACAAATCAGTGAAAGTTTGAGCAATATCTGATAAAAGAATATGAAAGTTATGAATTTTTAAAGTTGTCATCAGTGAAACACAAATTGGCAACACTGTGATGTATCTAGCGAGGCCCTCTCCAAATAGCTCTGTAAAGGAAATTTCATTAACTTTTATTTTCTTTGTTATGGATGATGGAATAGACTTTCTCCATACAGGGGTTTTATAGAAACACATTTGCAATTATCATACTTAAGGTGCATGTATGATTGAACATTTCTTGAGGGAAACAACAACAAAAATCAGATTTTTTAGTACAGAGCATAATTTGTAAGACGGTAAATTGTACAAATAGAATTCCTCTGATACATTCATTTAAAATCAACATCTTTTTCCTGTACTTTACATTGACCGTTTTGTTTAAGCTTTCAGTTATGTTTGGTTTCTGACTTATTGATCTCATTCATCTATAAATCATTTCTTGTCCTTTTCTTTGTATATTTTAGGTTTTAATCATGAGTGATAATCTACTTTCATCACTAAATGGTGGAGGCAACATCAAGGACCTATCGCTGCTCAGGGTAAATATATCATTTATGCAACTTTTTATTTCCCCAGCAAAACCCAGATCATGTGTACTTTCATGTGCAAGTTAGAATTAATGGGAGGCATAATCGCTCAGTGATAGCGGAGTGGTTTAACCAGGAGGTCCCAGATTTGGAACCAAGTTGATGCACTATAGTGGCCTTTGGTAAGGCATCAAACAAACCTCATACACCAAGTCCCTTAGATAGGACTCAAAGCTGTATGTCTTATGTAAATTTTAGCATTTAGTTCTCATGAATATTTGAAAAATTAAAGAATTTTATCAATCATTTAGGAGATTACTGAGGAGGATATTGAAAGGGGATATATACAAAATTTCTTTGATTAGCAGATTGTACATGTATGTCTCGTGTGATCTTTGGGAATTAGTTCACCTAAGGATTTGAAAATTAATGAAGAATTACGTGGAGCATCCTTTAGGAGATTTTATTTTTAAAAATCTCTGTAACAGGTTCGTGATATGAGGAACAATCGTTTAAGAATTAAAAACAATGTTTTAATGAAATTTCATTTTTCAATCTCTGTAACAAGTTCTTGATTTGAGGAACAATCGTTTAAGAAATAAAAACAATGTTTTAATGAAATTTCATTTTTCAATCTCTGTAACAGGTTCTTGATTTGAGGAACAATCATTTAAGAATTATAAGGAATGTTCTCAACAAGATTTCATTTTCAATCTCTGTAATAGGTTCTAGATTTGAGGAACAATTGTTTAAGAATTATAATGAACGTTCTTAACAAGATTTCATTTTCAATCTCTGTAATAGGTTCTTGATTTTTAGAACACTGTTAAAGAATTTTAAAGAATGTTCTTAACAAGAATTCATCTTTCAATCTTTGTAACAGGTCCTTGATTTGAGAAACAATCGTTTTGCTCAGCTTCCGGATGCTCTTACGGAGCTCGGACAACTACAAGTTCTCGATGTCACAGATAATAAACTAAAACAGCTGCCAAAGAGTATAGGCAAGCTACATGCACTACAGACGCTCAATGCAAGAGGTAGGAAGGGGACTCTTTTATTATTATTATCATTATTATTAAGTATTTGGCGTCACCTGTCCCTGGGAGGCGAAAACTAAACTAAATCACTGTAACCCTCGGGTCTCTCCTCCTGGTATAACTGATTGCGGGTGTGCAGGTGGAACACTACACTGGGGTGTTTCCCTACTCTTATACAAACAGTGCAGTGGGCTCTTAACGTGCAAAGGTGGTGACTCTCCTCTACACTGGGCATCCATTTAACATCCTATCAGAGGGAAAGAGTGTTTGCCACTACAACCCTAGGTTAGATTGAAGGATATAGTGAGGGTGAGGTATTATGTATGTTCCAAGGTTGAAGTTTAGAATTCAGACACTTTTCACTGGAGTACATGATGTTCAATCACGTTTGGAATGCATGGTTAAGTTCAAATAAAGTCCCCCCCCCCCCCCGCTCTTTTGTCTCAATAAGTACATGTATATTATAGTCACAATTTCTACTATCATCATCATCCCTTTTCTTATAAAAATATTATGTAATTTCCTTCTCTTTGTTGTTGTTCTTGATAGGCAATTCTTTGAAAGAGCTTCCAGACAGCGTGTGTCAGATGAAATCTTTGAGAACGTTAGACATCTCCCACAATCAAATCAGATCATTACCAAGGAGGTTCTGCAATATCAGGACATTAGAGGTAAGTACTGCTCATCATCATCTTCTAAATATGCCTGTACATCTCTTAAAGGCTTTGCAGATTCTATGGCAGAATCAGAGTTTCATAGTTTATTGGCAAGTAATGATGTTTCTTTTACATTATATACTGTCTATTGCTTTCCCCCGTATTTTAACGCATTACACATATGGATTCATATTTTTTACAATTGACACCAAATGCAACCTTTTGTTACTGATGAGTTCCTGTGAAAGTCCTATTAACTCATTATGTTGGAATCCTGTAAAAGACTTTCTGATTGTTTGGAGCCAGAAGGGCATTAAGAAATATACTTGAACGCCTTTCTGGCTCTGAATTTCTTGCGTAGAAAAATTGATATAGAGAGAGAGGTAAAAGTTTTATTTTGTCTGCAACTTTCTCTCTTACCTGATTGATTCTTTGTGATCTTCATCAATTTATATGTTGTAATTCTAAAACAAGACATGTTGTATCGATTAGTTTTTAGCTCTCCACAAATGATTTTTTTTGGGTAAAATCCCATTTTCAGTTGCTTAAATATATATTTGCGATATCCTTTTTTTATAAATCTTTTATGACAGAGTTTAACCCTTGATATCGATCACATGACCTACCCAACGCCTGACATATGCCAGGATGGAACAGATAGTATCATGAAGTTTATGTGTGCAGGTAAGACCTTAGAGCCGTAGCATAATTGCTAGATACACGTAAGTTGCTGCAAATGCCCACATTGTTAAAAGATGAAATAGACCAGTTTAGTAACATATTCAATTTGTATGCATCCTTTTTAAACAAAGGTTGATCTTGACCTGAAAGCTTTTCAGAGGTTTGTCCGACATAGCGAAATGTATTGAATGCAGACTGGATTCCAAGTATTTTGGTTAATTAATTAATCACAGGTTAATGGAATAACTTGTTACTAGGGTCCCAGGAAAAAACATCCATACATTTGAATAAGTTATATAATATGTCATATAACCCTTCTTTCAGACATTTCCAATATTTTGTTTGACTCTATTAATTCCCATTCTTGTTTCCGTCTGAACACAGAAAATGGTATAGAGTATTCCCCACCGTCTAAACACCTCTTACCTGTGCTGAACACATACACAAGAGAAACGGAGTCGTCAAGCTCCGCCCTCCAAGCATTGCAACGCGAGGACGACCAACTGAACAGCTCAGTTCTTAAATATGAGACCAAGAGAGTGAGTGTTTAATCAACTTTTGTTTTCTTCTCCTATCCCGTTTCATTTTCTTTCCTTTGTATCTCGTATTCACAATTTGCATGTGTTTCAGTCATTCAGTTGTGCTAATCCTTCCCGAGATGGTGATGTTCATAACTATGTTGAAAAGCTACAAATAAAGTCATTGTCATTTAACCCTATGTTAACTGGGGGGGGGGGGTCAATTTGACCCCCCCCCCCTGTAGAAATTTTGCGACTACTCCGAAACCGCGGCAGATATAAAATTTTCCTTTCATGACTTTTTACTTTCGAGTCTTACGCATCTTTTAAAACAATTTTTTTGAAAATCGGACCTACGGTTACAAGGTCACGTGACCTTTTGTCTTTGCATGTCAGCCCGAAAATCGCTCATTTTTGTGATTTGTGTACAAAACATATGTAAAAGTCATTTTTCCTAAAAATAGATAAAACATTGGTTATTCAGTCTTGTTTAAAGTTTAGATGTTTGTTTTGGGGTCAAAATAGTTGAATTGTAGTTATAAATGAAATAAAACAACAAAAACAATAAAATATAAGAAATTATAAAAACAAGAGATAACATAAGGAATAACCTGGCTCTTCCAAATTTTTTGTGTTGTATTATTATTCCAAATGGTCTACTAAATATGTGTAGTGAAAAAGAATACGTAAACATGAATAATCCATGATTTATGGGCAGAAATGTGAATTTGATGACCTTATTTGCATAAATTACCATAAATATGCAAATGAGTAAATTTTTCAAAAATTTGAAATTACCATAGTATTCTATACACTTCACTTGACATGCATGCAAATTTTCGCGGCGATCGGCGGTGAAACGGCCGAGATCTTAGGGGGGGGGTCAAATTGACCCCCCCCCCCCAGTAAAAACCTGGTCTGAAATAGCCCAGTTAAAATAGGGTTAAGTTATAAAGGACAATTTTTATTCTTAATCAACAATTTGTTGTTGCTGTTTAGGATTGCACTGTATAGGCCCTTCGCTGACACAGTAGTAGCACATGTTGAAATCGATTCAATTTTTCCATCCATAATTTTTGAAAAATATATCTTCTGCGTGTTTGGCTACTTTTCTTTTAGACTTCTACGTCTATTCTTTGTTTTATTACTTTGTATTCCTGCCCAGAACCAGAAGCAGAGTGACTTTGTCCGGTTGGAACAGGAGCTGGCCCAGCTAGAGGCCCAGCAGGCCCAGATTGCCGAGTCCTCCAACAGGAACAGGGTTTTGTTACTACAGTCACTTGCGAGGGTAAGCATATCAGTGATAGCGATACATGAAGGCCTCGTTCAGACATGATGCATTATTCTGCTTAACCCTTTCAGGACAAGGATTTTTTTAAAGAGCTAAATTGATCTCATATCATTCTTCATATTGGCAACAACTTTTTGTTGTTGTAATGGTTCAAGTTTCTAATAAAATGCAATGTCTACAAAATCAATGTACATGGGTAGAAGTTTTGTCAAAGAGTGGAACAAATTTGCCAATATCAATTTAATTTTTTTTTTTAAACTTCTCAATGTCTTGGCAATTTAAGGATTTTAAAGCTTATTTCTTTTCTTTTTGAATTCCTAGTGCCATTTGAAATCAGGTCATAAAGTGTGTATTGGGCTTGTGAATTACAGAAAGGGGGAAGAGATAATTTCGAAAGAACACTTTTTTAATTCTTGCCATTTTAACATGTTACTTTAATGATTTTGAAATTCAATAGAACCAAATCCTGATGAGTGCTAATTTTTTTTCTTTCACCATGATAGGACCAAGAAGAAGCTGATCATAATATCAGGAATATCCAAGAGAAATCTGAAAGTGACAAAAGACAGATGATATCCTCATTACAAGAAGGTCAGTCGATTATTGTATTGAAACATTGGATTCCAGTGAATTGTGATTGTCAATAGATACATGTATACTTGATCAAGTTGTTTTATTGAACAACATACACTGTTAGATGCTGCTTATAAGTATTGGCTCCCATGGTGATGTAGATATACAGTAGGCTTGCGGTTGCACCCTGTGAGAGAGAGGGAGGATTGGGAAGTCCTGAAAAGGACTCTCGACTCCTGACGACGGATAGTCAACCTGTTCGAAACGTCGAGCCACTCCTGCAACCTATCCTCTCCAACGGCGCTATAGTTCTCCTTAGAACTATAAGCTAAGAAAGATAACCAACAGTCCTTTTCAGGACTACACACCCTCAAGAAAGAAAGATTATCGATAGTCCTTTTCAGGACTTCCCAATCCTCTCTCTCTCTCTCTCTCTCACATGGTGCAATCGCAAGCCTACTGTATAACATACACTGTATTTCTAGATTTTCTAGGGCATTTAGTTTAGATTGTGAATCCCAGAAAACAAATTTTTATCCTTTTGACTTTTTCAAAAATCTATTTTCCTTAATTGATGCATTACAAATTCTGGTATTAAACTATTTTTATTAACATTACTTATACTGCATTTTTCCCATAAGGCCCACGGTGCTTCAAGTACATTTTATAATTTCATTTTGCCATTGATTTTCCTTTGTAACATTTTATGAGATAACATGTAATTTTGTTCACATGTTGGATTATGTTTTGAGTGAATCTTTGTGGTTACGATGTTATCCTCTGTCTAATGTACATGTTCATTATCCTGTGCTTGTTTAAATGCGACGGTTTATTTATTTATTTATTTTTTCTTTCTCTCATTGCAGTTGAGCACAGATCAGCATATCTCATCCAACAGTTGCTGGAGATGAATGAAAAGTAATTTTAATTTTCTCTTTGTTGTAATTCCAAAATACAAGTTTTTGTAGTAGGAATACTGTATCTGTATGTATCTGTAAAGTGAATAACAAGCATACTGTTTCTTTAAGTGTGTATCTATGAATCAGTGATCTTTTTTATTGGCAGCAGCTGCGTTTAGTAATAACCATGATTTGAAACTTAGTATCAGATTAATTTTAATTAATTTACAGGTCTTGTATGAATGGTCTTTCAATGACCCTTCCTTCCCCATTGTCCTCCTAGCTGGACCAAAAGTCATGGGTTTGATCACTGACACTGCACTAATGTCCTTTGGCAAGACATTAATCTACATTTGCCACTTCATACCCAGGAGAGAAATGAGGACCTGGTAGATGACAAAAGCCTTTGTGTTTTCCATATGCCCTCATGGTGACCATATGGTAGGAATGGAATGGAGATGGTGCACATTGTGCGTGAATGAATCCTGTGAACAGGGTAATAATATCTGGAAAGCGCTTAGAGACGTTATTTCGTATAAAGCAGTGTATAAATTTAGATTATTTTTATTATCAAATCACCTTGTTAAATTATTTATTTTGTTGTTTTGTTTGATTTCAGGGCCAAAAAGAAAGAAGCATTCCTAGATGAAATGGAAAGAAAGATGTAAGTCTTTTATTTCATATGTGTACAGTCCTTGTCTTTTCTGTATGTTTGTCTGAACTTCAATTATTTTGTCTACTTGTTGCAATGAGTTGATTACTTATTGTCCATTTTCTGGAAATTTCTTATTAACTCTTTAAAAGCCCCACGAATAATCATGTATCTTGGGATAGATATATGAAAGTTTCAAAATTATTTAATTGTTTCCAGAGCAAGATTAATCTATATCGCTATTAAAAGAGTAGTCATGGAGCTAGTCAAGACTACTAAGCCAATGAGTGATTTCAAGTTGGGTGTTTAAGGCTGGTGTTAGTGTTTAATAAACACTAACACCAGCCTATTAAAACACCGAAATGGAAATCAGCTGGTGTTAAGGCTTTGACCTCTGAATATCGTCAACCTCCGGTAGCTAGTGTTATCGATTTTGCTAAATTGTCGTCTGCTGAACTGACCGTTGTGGCTGGTGTTAATATTTTACGTACAAATGTCCTATTCACTAACACTAGCCCCTAGGGATTAAGCAAATGTTGATTTCCAGTTCGGTGTTAGTGTTGTACCCGCACACAGTCAACGCACGAACGACGCCAATTTATTGTCTGACGATCAAATAAAAATATGTGAAACAGGTAATTCATATATTATTTTGTGTAAAATTAGTTATTTTATAAGACCAGAGAAATAGGTGTAAATTTATTCTGTACTTTTCATGATATCTTTAGTTTTGATGTACTATTTTTAAATCATCGTCGTGAAATCAAGTATGTGGTGACGTCACAGCTGGTGTTAAGCTATCGATTTTGATATCAGTACCGGGCTCTTAATCTCATCAGCAAATTTTCTGCTCGATTTAAGAGCTCTTGACTGCTCTAGTCTAAACACTAACACTAACACCAAACTTGAAATCACTCATTGTGTTGCACAAAGCAATCTGTCCATCAATTGGTGCCTATTCTGTGCAAAATGGCACCTGCGGCAAATGAGCGACCTTGCAGAGAGGTGAAGAAAGCAACCAAAGTGTTAACTGATTTAGATTTTGTTTCTTATAAGAAATAATTTCAATTAGGTACATGTGCTCACTGAACAATTTTAATGTGGCGTAACATAATGGCTCAGTCGGTAAAGCGTCTGCCTGTCGAAACAAAGATCTTCGGTTCGAATCCAACCAAGACGGATGTCTGAAGCCCGAGGAGTGTGATAACGTACCCCTCCCCTTGTTTTATAGACGTTGGCTATGTAAAGTGGTAACACTCCGTCCCTCGGATAGGATGTTAAATGGAGGCCCGGTGTAGAGGAGAGTCACCACCTATGCACTTTAAGAACCAACTTCACTATTCGTATAAGAGTAGGAGGAAAACCCTGGTGTAGCGGTCCACCTGCATATCCCAATCAGTTAAGAAATTAGGCCAAGTATTGGTAAAGTTACAAACACTGTACACTGAAAGATGTATATGGGACTACACAAACACGTGACGTAAAAATCCTACCCCCAAGTTTTACGATGTTACATGACATATTTAGAATATGAAGGCATTTGAAGAGCCATGCTTGTCAGGGAACATGTCTTATCTGATGTTCTTCCACACTTGCATTATAAGAATGATAACGCTCACAAATTATTTTTCACCTCTTTCCAGAACTCGACCTTCTCTTTAATAATAATAATAAGTAATGATTTGTGACCAAATTTACAGGATGGAAGATGAGAAGATGTTCAAGATTCAGGAGGAGGAGAGAAAGCTGGTGAGAGAGAATGAAGTACTGGTATCCATGGAACGCATCCTAAGAGAGAGACACGCCTTTGAATCACAGAGACTCAAGTATGAGGAGCACAGGGATAGCGTCACCAAGCAGGCCATGGACATGTAAGTGGTGGTGGTGGTGGTGGTGGTGGTGGTGGTGGTGGTGGTGGTGGTGGTGGTGGTGGTGGTGGTGGTGGTGGTGGTGGTGGTGGTGGTGATGATGATGATGATGATGATGATGATGATGATGATGATGATGATGATGATGATGATGATGATGATGATAGTTGTGGTGGTGGTGATGATGATGGTGGTCGTGATGGTAGTGGTGGTGGTGGTGGTGGTGGTAGTGGTGGTGGTTGTAGTGGCAGTGGTGATGGTGGTGGTGGTGGTGATGATGTTATTGGTTGTGATTGTGATTATGATTATGAGGATGATACTGGTTGTGATGGTGATGATAATTGTGGTTGTGGAGGTGGTGGTGATGATAATGTTTAGTAGTAGTGGCTGTGATTGCAATTCTAGTGATGATAACATGCGGTGGTGATTACAGTGACAGTCAGTAAGTGACATGATGGTGCTAGGGGATGGTAGCTCGTAGAGAAAATGTCGAAGTCACCATGCTTATAATCGATAATTCAATAATCCTGTCATAATATTCCCTTTTTCAATCATTGACAGAGATGAATTAGAGATGCAAAAGCTTGGACGCCAGCTCAGCTCAATCAAGCAGAACCGAGACGAGATATTCAAGGAACTCATGGAGGAGGAAGAATTCCAACGCCAAGCCTTTGAGACACTCCTCATCAACAAGGACGCGAGACATAAGAGACTAACAGATACGGTAAGTTCTATCTGATGACAATAGCATTCCTTTTTAGAGTCCTCTTTTTCAAAAGTCCAAACACAATATTTGATTTCAATGAAATTTTCAGTAATTTCCTGTTGCTTTGCCTCTAAACCCTTTAATAATGATGCAAGACATAAGAAACTATTAACAGATACGGTAAGCTCGATCTGATGACAATAGCATTCTTTTTGAGAGTCCTCTCTTTTGAAAAGCCAAACACGATCTCCAAGTTCATTGATATTTTCAGTACTTTCCTGTTTCTTTGCCTCTAAACGTTTTAATAAAACAATGTTTTTAAAAATGTAAAATTGTGTTTCAATTATTAAAAAAAAGGGTGGGGGGAGAAGGGAGAAATTATTTAAGGTTGATATACTTAGTAACTGTTTGCGCCATAGAGGTTTATTGTTGTTTGGGAACATGTACAGGGAGTTGGTAGTGTGTTGTGTATTATAAAATATGTTAAGTACTGACATGTACATGTTTGTATTATAATGTTTATTTGCGTCTTTATTTTATTGTTACGACCTCTTGTTAGAACAGCCGTGCTATAATGGCACAGCAGAGCAAGGCTATCCATATATATTATTTACCAATGCAATCATAAGTCATTATTTTCTATGTTTCTAAAATAATATATTTTTGTTGTTTTATGTTGCTGTTGTTTTTTGTAGATCTACATGATTCAGCAGCAGCTAGCCGAGGTCACGATGGCAGAGATAGAGAAGCGGAACATGAAGGCCGATTCAGCCTCGCTGGCCCTGGAGCAGAAACGGGAAGACCTAGCGGCCTTGCTCAAACAGCTCATGATGCAGAGAGAGGAGAGAGAAGGAGCACTCAAACAGAGAATGGTATGAGTTTGTTATTTGTTTGTTTGTTTTACCTGATTGCTAAGAAAGTATGTATGTTTAGAAGAAGCGCGATAGCTCAGGTGGTAGAGCAGTTGTCTCGTAATCTGGCGACCAGGTCTTTCGGAGAGTTTTAGGGGGGGGGGGTCTTAGTGTGACCTATCTGTAGACTTTGTGAATACATTTAAAAAAAATTATATTTAAGTTTTGTCAAATGAGAGTCATCTTAATATTTAATATCTACTTTCATGTAATTACTAAAGCAGAATTCTTAGCATTACTCACTTGAATAAATATCATCATTACTGTTTTGATACAGTAGGCTTACGGTTGCACCATCTGAGAGAGGGAAGAGGATTGGGGAGTCCTGAAAAGGATTGTGTGTATTCAATTTTCTTTCGTCAGTGTGTGTGTAGTCCTGAAAAAGACTGTTGGTAATCTTTCTTGAGCTTATAGTTCTAAAGAGGTTATAGTTCTAAAGAGAACTATAGCGCCAGTTGGAGAGGATTGGTAGTAGGAGGGGCTCAACGCTTCGAACTGGTCGACTATCCCTCGTCAGGAGACGATACTTAAAAGCATTATCTAATTATTGTTTATGTTTTGTGTTTGTTGATCAGCTGGAGATGGAGGAGCTGAGAGAGAGGACGGAGCAGGATTACTGGCTGGTGCAGTATCAGAGGCTGCTGGATAAGAAACCCCAGTCACTTATCGATCAGGTGAGTAATGATGATGATAAGGAGGATGAGGAGGAGGATGAAATGGAAAAGGAGGAAGAGGCAGATGTTTATGTAATGAAAGTGTTGATGATAATGATGATGATGAAGATGATGACAGTGGTGGTGATAATGGCGGCGATGGTGGTAATGACGAAGATGATGATAGTGATGATGGTGGTGGTGGTGGTGGTGGTGGTGGTGGTGGTGGTGGTGGTGGAGGTGGCGGTGGTGGTGGTGGTGGTGGTGGTGGTGATGATGATGATGATGATGATGATGATGAAAAGGTGATGATGATGATGATAGTGGTGATGGTGGTAGTGATGATGATGATGATGATGATACTGATGATAGTGGTAGTGATGATGGTGATGATGATGATGATGATGATGGTGATAGTGAAGGTGATAATGATGATGTGGCTTTTAAGATGATGATGATGAGAGTGATGGTGGTGGTGGTTTTGTTAATGGCAATTGTGGTTACAATATTATTGACTTATAAAATTTCAATTAATGATACTGTAACAATGTCATATTAAAATGTCTTGATACATGTACTTTCCCCACTTTCAACTTTTATGTATAATATGTGTATAGGTGTATGCAGATATTTTATTTTATCTGTTCATATATTTGGTTTTCTAGGCTTTTCCACAGAAAAAAAGATTTTTCCCTCGATCACGCAGGGGGGCAAATAAGGTAGTAGTTCATTTCAGATGCCGTGCAAAATTTGTTTCTTTGTGGTTTTAGTTCAAAACTGTATAAGTCATATCCATGTATGCTGTTTGCACTCTCAAATTCATTCATTTGCAGAGATGCCAACCAGTACGGATTTCCCGTAATTGGTACGGAAATTAACGACCATTACGGCAGTACGGAATGTTGTCTAAAAATTACGGATTTTTTTTTTTTTGCGCATAGGGATCTATCGTAGCAAGTGCTGTGCATTATGGTGGCCATCCATGAGAAAGATGGAAAAGTATCAAGTATTCTCTTAATAGAAGCCAATTTTTCATTGAAAACTTATGTGTTGTGATGAACTGAAAGTCAATATTTAGCAACTTTGTGGGAGTAAAATCACAAAAAATTTCAGATAATCATGCGCGCATGCGTCCGCCTGCCATTCTTTTTAGATTCATGACGCCGCATAGGAAATTACTGATTTATTCCCCAAATTACTGATTTTGAGCCTTATGATTACTGATTTTCTGTTCTGGAGGTTGGCATCTCTGCATTTGCCTGAAAAAGAGTAAAGTCAATACATTTGTAAGAGTGTATACTATATACACATATATCTTGTTCTTGCTTTTGAACCAGCGAATATAAAGTCTGAAATGTATATCGATGTACAGAATTTGTGTAGCATAACCTGGGCCCGATTACACCATAAAGAATTGATTTTTATGTTTTTGACAGTTAATAAATAGATATTTTTTGCATGGATGTGCAGCCCCTTATAGAGTTTTCTTTTAAAGTCCCACAACCTATTACCTGTACAGGCTGTACCTTTTTAAAAACATTGATAATAACATCATTATGTGTATTCTTGCTATTATCAGCAGTCAAATACATGTAGATATTTTATAAAGGGGTTATGTAGAAACAGATGTATACTGATTGTAGCTATGTTGCTGAATATGTAGTTGAATATTTTATTTTGAGAATTAAAATTTAAGTACTTTTAAAATTCATAATTTTCTCACATTTTTCAGATTTTCTTCAATCTTTCACTGATCCATTTTTCAAGTTTTCTGTTTTTGTGAAAACCTTACTTAGTATCAGATGAAACCCCTTAAGTTACACATGTACCTTTAATACCATAGAGAAAATTAGACAGGCTTCATGTACTAGCATGCACATCGCTTTACATTTTTGATCTATCTTGCATTTAATAGTGTCAAGTTTTTTGAGGCATGATATTTGATCGACATCATTCTTTTCTTGGGAATGATGTATTAGACTCAATGGTGGAATGTATTTGTTTGTTTGTTTGTTAGCAATTTTTCAGTTTCAAAAGCTTCTGAGCTTTCTCTGCTTGTCAGAGAAATTTTGTAAAAAAGCATCCCAAATATTATTTTCCCTATTTGCTTGTCGCAAAATTTTCATGACATTGTGCCCCCTCTTAAAAAGAATCCTGGTTGTAGCCCTGAATAGACTTCTAATGAAAATCAGTTCATGTGATTTCTATTCATGTACATGTAATCATTTAAAAAAAAATTATGTTGGAAAATCTAAATTAAAATTCATAAGTTACTAATCCAGCTTTTTCTCCTTTCGTATTTTCTTAGGAACACAAGCTGGAGCTTGCTGTGGTCGATATCTTACAAGAGGCTGGTGCCGAAGACTACATCCCTAGATTTGCAAGGCATCGCGTTTCCATAGAAACCATGATGCAGATGGGAATGGATGAATTGAGAGAGGTAGGTGATGGATTTCGAGGACGAGATCAATCATGCATTTTTCATGAGGATGATGTTTGTGTGTGGCATGCATTAATTAACTCTTTACATGCCACCCAAATAATCTCCCTGTGCCACAAAATATTTATCATGGAGAAGATAGACAATAGACTTCGAGATTATTTAATTGATTCCAGTACAAGATTAATTTTCACTTGCGTTAAAAGGGTTGTCATGGAGCTGATCAAGATAGAAAATGGGTAATTTTTCAAAATCAGGTAATGTTACAAAGACATTGTCTTTCACAAAGTTATCCCTGCTGTCAAGTGGTACCATTTGTTTATTGCAAAATTGCATGCATAGCAAATGAGTGGCCATGCACTTGTGGGTGGTTCATACGTTCTCAAATTTTAGAGAGTATTTCTTTTTTCTCAAAGAAGCAGGTCTTTCTTGTTAAAATTCAGAATGGGGCTCACGCATTGTGACACAAGGTACCATTGAAAAGTGTTAGCACAAAGATAAGTAGAATAATATAATTGAAATTTGAAAAGATTGAAAAGTTGTCTCCATAACTCATACAAAATATTTGATTTAATTATGATTTTGATTTTTAGAAGAAAAGGGCCATATTTCCAGGTTATAAATGGAAACCACCTTGCATTTTTACTGTGTTAAGCAGTGCTCCCACTTAGCCGAGTTGGAGCCTTGAGTTGTGGCAAGCTGGCGCAATGTAATGGCAAGCAGTTTTATCATTAATACATATTTCTTGATATCAAGAATTCAATTCTTGATATCACGAAATCAAATTCCTGATATCACAAAATCGAATTCTTGATATCAAGAATTACCATTGCTTTACAATGTAGAATTACTTCTTGATATCAAGAATTGATTTCTTGATATCAATTAATAACAAAACGGCTTGCCATAAGATGGCCCCAGCTCGCCACAACTCGAGGTTCCAACTCGGCTAAGTGGGAGCCCTGCTTAAGGCAAATATGTGTGGTTGTCGAGGAGCGAATGTAGAAGGACGTTCATGCACTGCTGGGTCTTGAACCCAAGACCTTCTAATCCCCAGGTTGGTGTCTAAACCGCTCAACCATGACACCTATTTGATGTAAGTCACATTCACCAATCCCATTTACAACTTCTGGTGAACTATTTTTGCAGATCGGTGTGCACGAGGTCGGTCTGCGTAAGGCCATCCTGACGGCTGTCCAAGGCTACGTCCAAGCCCAGACCAGAGCGATGGAGAAAGCCGCCGCCCTGGAGCGACCGGCAGAACCCTCGGCCCCGCCCATGGATCCTGGTAGCGGGAAGGGTAAAAAGGAGGAGGAGGAGGAGATGGGCGCGGCTGCTGCCTCTAGACCGGTAGAGGCGATGCAAGCGCCGGAAGGTTACAACCCCGATGTGACCGTGAGGGTTACTACAGAGTGTGTCATATGTATGGAGAAAGATGTGAGTATATATTTCATTGTTTTTTGTTGGGGGGGGGGGGGGGGGGGGTAGGGAGGGGGGGGGCGTGATCAGGGGTGATCATCGTACCTGCAAATTTTGTTTTCTTTAATCTTTTCAGTACTTTCCTCTTGAAGGGTACCAATCACATGACAAAATTATATCTGTACAACTGAAATCTCTATATCAACCTTAGTTCATGTGGTATTCTTTGGGTTAATGGTTATGGACTGTGAAGAAAATAAAGGACAGCATAATACTCTGCGCATGGGACACAAGTTTGAATTTGCTAACATAGAATAACAGAAAAACAGAAATAGAATGATGCATATCGGCTGCTGAGAGCCATAAGGCCATTCAGTATTAAAAGCTTTTTACATTGAATTAACACCCTTCTCGCTATCAATAGTTGATATCGTCCGCTGCGGTCCAGAAGGGCGTTAAGTCATATATTTTGACACAGAGTTAATGCCCTTCTGGCTCTCAACAGTTGATGTACAGTGAAACCTGTCTATAAAGACCACCTGAGGGAGACAAGAAAAGGGTCTTTGAAAACAGGTTCCTTTAGTACATGTTTCAATGAGAAACCATTTTCAAGGGAAACAAAAGAGGTGGTCCTTGTAGACAGGTGGTTGCTAAACCAGGTTTGACTCTACCGGTATTTACACATTGCATGTAAACAAGGCCAAACTATACACTGTACCTTACATTTTTGCATGAGTTGACATAATCCATTCACTCTTTTCCCCATTTCTCCCCTTTAGTCCGATATGCTGTTTATGATGTGTGGCCATATCTGCTGTTGTGTCAAGTGCTCTCAGCCTCTCTTCAAGTGCCCTCTATGTCGGGGTGACATCACCTCGAAGATCATCGTCGGAAACACGCCGGTGGGATGAGAGACGTTCGACTCCCAACATCTACGATCATTGCAAGTCATATTTATCTATCTTTCAGCTCGTTTTTTCACATTTTCTGTACAAAAATTGCCTGGGATCTTTTGTTTGTATATGGACATGTTGTGTTTGTACTCTATAGAGTGGTGAAGTGTGACGTCATCAAAAATCTAATTTTAGAATTTCTCAATTTTTTCTTCATATTCCGAAAGACCACCAAAAAGAATGTACACATGTAGAAAACCAATTGAATATGTTAAATATTGGCTGAGTTATGACCATCTGAATGAATATATCTCCTATGGGATCTCAGTGTTACATGTATATGCTCTGGCTCCTAACCATTAGGAGCCAGAGCATATAACACTGAGTTCCTATGGGGAGTATATTTATTCAGATGGTCATATCTCAGCCAATATTTAACATATTCAATTGGTTTTCAACATTTGGACATTATTTTTGGTGTTCTTTCGGAATATGAATACAAAATTTAGAAATTCTAAAAATAGATTTTTATGACGTCACAGCTTCGGTACTCTATTCTAAATAAACTAACAAATTACCAGTTTCCCGAGATGAGGCATACACTTTGTGCTCTCCCTTGGTTTGTGCAAGTCATAAAAATCTTTCATCTGTTTTTTCCCGCATATTCTGTGAGAGAAAAATATTTAAAGAGGCCAGGAATCAATTACATATATCCAAATTATGAATATAATTTAGTTTTTACTCTGTAAACTGAAAATTACCATTTCTGATCGAGTTAGGCCGGACATGCAACGTCCTCCTGTGATCAATGCAAGGAATATTTATATCTTTCATCCGTGTTTTGTTTTTACACATTCTGTACAAAAATCTCAGAATTTTTTGTAATATGCGAACAAATTTCATTTTTACCACATTATTAACAGAAACCCGATCACCAATGGTATGAGACCATCTGGGCATACAATGTAGGATGCCTTCATTCAGTGTATTAAAATCATGCATGTATTTTTATCTCTCATTTTTCCACACACTCGGTGAAAGTAGTGAATGAAATCACTTTTTTATGAATATGCGTAAATTTGACTCCTTGAAACTCTCAAGTGGTGTTTCCGCAGTCAGTGCAAGTCATATTTAGATCTTTCATCAGTTTTTTTCACATATTCTGTCAACAAAAACAAAAATTGAATTTATGTGTATTGATATTTTTCCTTTTCACTTGTACTTCTTTATGAATTGAAGACGAGGAAACACAGAAATTGTGTACATTTGGCCTTATTTGCTATTTCTATATTATGGATATGGAGTAATTTTATCTGGTAATTATGTGCATAATAACAGTATCATTGAACAGTATCTGAAGTTATTCAAAGCTTTCATTACTTCTGGACCGGTGATGAAAGTTTTCTTGTATAAGGAAATAAAAATAGATAGATATTACACTTGCTATCAGGTTTGAATTTGATTGCTCTAGGACAACCGCCCACCCCCCCCCCCCCTTTAAATAAAATCATATCTGAATGATCCTTTATGACGGTAGATTATCAAGGATGTAGGAAATGCAAAAGTTTACAAATATTGACAGCTTTGAGGGACAGCGTAAAGCTATTGCCCAAGGTGATCTCAAAACAGTACTATGCCCCAAGACAAAGTTGAGGGTCATAGTTCAGTCGAGACTGTAATGATTAGGTACAATTAAATTGTTCATATTCATGAACGGCGTTCTGTACTGCTTAAGAAATGTATCACAAAATTTCTGTTATCTTTTTTTGCCTTTTTGGAAAGCTTTGCGAAAATTCCAAACAGTCGATATAATTCCACATAACGCCAATCACAAGTTCTAATCTTTTGAGGGAAGTTTTTAGTTGGTATTATCTCTTGTTTACCATAGGATTCACACAAGTTTATATTTTTATCCTGCAAAAGAGACACACCACTTTTAAGATAGGAGCAGAGTCTTTTTTTAATAATTATCTATTTATTCATATTTTTTTTTTGGTATCATTTGAGGGGAACAGTGAGGGGGGGGGGGTTGGCTTGATCTTTGCAAGCTTGAAGAGAAGAGAAGTTTTATAGAGTCATTCTAGGCATATTTATTTATGTTTTAGCATGCATATATTATATAGAGAGAGATATATTAGAATGTCTATGTATATTGAATAGTCTTGTAATTAAATGTATATGTGGTAAAATCTGTACTTCAATAATTGTGTGAAAACTATCATATAATAGATAATTAGTTTTTATATTAAATCACTATCTGTGACATGTTCAATATACAATGTAGATGTATATGTATATAGATATTTCTAGATTGCTTTGGAGAACCCTAAAATGTGTTAAATTCTTTAGATGCAATCTTGAAAGATAGAGTGATAGAATAGTGAAAAGAGTGGAGTAAGTGGGAGAGAGAGAGAGAGAGAGAGGTGGAGAGAGAGAGAGGGAGGGAGGGAGAAAGAGGGACAAGATGGGGGAGAATACAAAGTGAAGGAAGAGAAAGAGAGGGGGAAAGGAGAGACAAAATTCAAAAGAAACAAGAAAAAACAAATCGTTTCAATCTTTATTTTACAAGCAGATAATTTCTTAGATGAATTATAATATTCTACATACAGGTTTTATATAAATTATATCTTTCAACATTAGTAACTTACCCAGTTTTGTATTCTTTTCGCTAGGTTTTCTTTTTATATAATCATTGAATTCGTCATTCTCTGCTCGTAAAAAAAACTGTTCATTTTTTGTCACCTATTTGTATTAAAACAGTGATGTGCAAAATTATATTTAAATTGTATACCGTACAGGTTTTCAGAGGAAAACATTTATTTACATATCGCAAGTCAGAATCTGTTCACAATCTAGACTCGCCCTCACAATACTATTTCCCCACCCCATAACGTTCATATTAGTTATACACATAGAAATGCCCTTAAAGCATTATGTTGAGATACCCTGTACTCTGAATGGGCTAACAAATGTCAGTCTCTTTGCCAGAATATGTTCCTAAATTCCAACGTGTCATGATTATGGAAAAGCCACGTTTCAAATTGCAAATTGAAAGTTTATCCAGTAATATGATAGCAGATTTCAACTAAATTTCCCCTTACTTGGAAATTGATGTTGCATACACAGAAAGAAAACTGATGATCTGGTGGTCTACACTTCTCTCAGACAAAACATATTTCAAAGAAATTTTCAGCTTGGGAAGTACCCCCTACCCTATTTAAATCCCAAAATTCCCGTTGTCAGTTATTTGACTTTAAATGATACATACTGTAGATGTCCATGTATTGATACCAAGAACTAATCATGAATTGCTATATAGCTGCTCGACAAACGTAGATTGATTTATTTGTTGCAATTTAGGTTCCATGTTAACGTCCTACTTGAAAAAAATGCTTCTAATGAAAAATTTAGGATAGTATGAATCAGTTATTAATTTTTTTTCCCCAAATGTTATTTTGAGGGGAAAAAACACACAAATGGACCAATTTTCTGGTTTTAATCATATGATTTATGATATGAAAATTGTTATAAAATTTGTTTCCGTATATGGTCAGAAAGGAGACTGTTTCTTTCTTTCTTTCTTGCATCTATGCAATATATTGTATATGTGTAGTGTACACATACATTGTACATATATTTTGTGAACTACAAATCAAATGGGCAATGGCATTTTCGACTAATGTATCAATAATTTTTTGATGCAATCTTCAGGTTTTATTTCTACAGTATGAGTATATATGATGTTTACATTTTCATTGAGTCGACATTGTTTTAGCAGATATTTTTAAAGTATGTACATGGCAAAGTAGATTAAATCTTAGAAGTTGATTGGAAATGGGGAAAGGAACCACTGTTGATATGGACCAATCGTTTCTCAATTTCAAAAGAGTAGTGTACCCTTATCAGAGCAGAAAGGTGCAGTCCTTTGTATTTGAATTTTCAGAGGTGCACTTTTAAAGGCGCCCATTGCTATGGAATATACATTAGGTTTAATATTGAAATTGCCTTTTATTATTTTCTTCTCGACAGTACAGTCTAACCTGCTTTAGCAACCACAGGTATAGAAAGACTACCTGTCTAGAAATACCACCTGTAGAGAAAGACCACCTGTCTATATTAAGACCACATATTTTGTTTTTCTTCAGTATGGTTTCTCATTGAAACATGTACTAAAGGAACCTGTACATAAAGACCACTTACCGGTATGTTTCCCCTGAGCGATCTTTATACACAGGTTTCACTGTAGCTGCGATTGTGTTATGGTCATTAATTATGGAATATGATATTATTTACCGACCTCAGACTCCCCAGTATCGTAGTAAAATACCACGAACAAAATTACAGCGTGATTAATTTTATGTATTCCCCCGTGTTGATCTAATGTTAATGGGTACACAGGGTCGCGTGATATACATGTATCGTACATGTTAATTGTAAGTCAATAAATCAAATTATTGTTTTATTTCTTTTTTCTGCAATGGATTAGTTTATTTGGACCGTTCATCTTTATATATACATGTACTTCTTTATTAATTTGAATTGATGAAGAGTATGTCTTGTCTACTACCCTCATATTTGTGTTGTATTAAAAGAAAAATATTTGCATTCAATTGATATACAATAAACTTCAATTCTAATTGTTGAGTTATTTGTTATTTCCTTGTTGTGAATAAACTGCAGTCAATAAAACCTACATACGCTACTGCATATATACAAACACAATTTGTTCTCAGTTCATTCAAATACTGCCATCCGTATGGAAAAAAACAACTACATGTGGCCTTTTGTTAAGGATACTTGCAAGAGACATCCATAGAATTGAATGTAGGCATTAGTAAACAGATCTAGCCCATTCGCAACGAATAGACCATGTTTTTATAATACTAACATATTTAGGTATATGGATGATTCTTTCCTGTGGACCGGCCTATAGAATGAATTACAATACTTTGAATCCTATCTGCATACATTACTTCTTGCTATGTCAGGCACCCCTGGGGCATGTTTAAAAAGTATGCATCCATTTTAAATGTTAGGAAACCGTTCTATTAAACGTAGTGAACGCATAAAGAGACAACAATGGGAGTGTGTCAGACCCTGGGAGAGAATGAGAGAGAGAGAAAGAGAAAGAGAGAAAGAGAGAGAGGGAGAGAAAGAGTTAGGGTAAGAGATCTAGAAACAGAAAGAAAGAGGGAAGGAGGGAGGGAGATATCTAGAGACAGAAGGAGAGAGGGGGAGAGAAAGAGTTAGGGCAAGAGATTTAGAAACAGAAAGAAAGAGGGAAGGAGGGAGGGAGATAACTAGAGACAGAAAGAGAGAGGGGGAGAGAAAGAGTTAGGGCGAGGGAGAAATATATCTAGAGACAGCAAGAGAGGGAGGAAGGGAGAGATGAGGTGGAGAGAAAATTTGGTATTCCCTACACCCTGCTTACATAAAAATACATGCAGTATATAATTTATTTCTCTTTTCTTTATTACCCATCCTCCGTCTCTCTCTCTCTATGACTATCCCTTTCAAGAACTCACTTCCTCTCTCCCTCCTCTCTTACTCTTCACTATTTTCTCTCTCTCTCTCTCTATTACTCCTTTTCCCTTCCTCTTCCTCCCTCTTTCACCATCTTTCTTACTCTCCATCATTCTCTCTCTCTCTCTCTCTCTCTCTCTTTCTCTTTCTCTCTCTCTATATGTATATATTTCATTTTTGTCAACCTTTGCACAAATTCAAATGGGAGGACAGTAATAATGTACTAAAGAGATACAGTAATAGAGCTTCACATCATCGTTTTACAAGTATTTACATTAATCATTCACCTGCTTTTCCTCTATGTAACACAACAAACCAAAAGAAGAATTTTGTTTATAGATATATTCAATGCTACCATAGCAATTGATTTTTTATGGCTCTTCATCAAATTACAAGATAATATACTTCAAATACATTTATAATTTGATACTGCATAGAGTAAGTTCTAAATAATATCAATAAAATTCATTGCATGATTTCCAATACTGAGGAAAATGATTGCTTGCTTTTTTTTCTCAATAACATGAAGGCAAATGGAATGCATCAAGGCAATATTTTGATACTCTCATTTGAACGGGAAACTAAAAAATGTATTTAAAACATATTTCATTTGATGTTTTGTAAAGAAGGGAAAAAAGTTGAGGATACAATGCAACAATATCCAATTAGATTGGAAAGCATTATTTCTATAAAAAAAGAATGTGGGACATTGAAGAATGAAGATATTACGACTGCATTCATTCACAAGTTGACATAACTAGAAAATGTTTCATATCCCCGATAATCGGCTTACAAAAATAGAAAAGTTAAACATATCTTCCTGACAATTATACTGCCATAAAAAATAAGAAAATACCAACTGGGTAGATTTAGTCAGCCTACCGTAATGATAAATGTTCATAAGAAAGTTCTAAAGCTTTCTGATTTATAAATCAAAGGATTTTAAGATCCAGAAAGTTCCATATATAGCAAGTCATGTAGTGGTTCCGTTTAATTCTAAATCTTGGGGCGGTTTAATGGTGGTGATCGACCAATTGTTGCTTGCGTTGCATGATCTGGCGGAAGCGGTCCACGCGAGACTTGGCGTTGGCTCCGGTCTCTGGGACGACGCAGGAGCCACTGGTCTTGTAGCCCTGGAACCTCTCAGGGAGCCAGCTCTGGCCGTTCCAGACTGTCTCACAGGTCTTGGTGATGCTGGCAGAGTCCATCTGGACCTGGACCTCGGGGTCTACTTCGGAGTTGACCTGAGACAGAATTCCGGGGCTGTAGATGGAGGTCATTCAGAATAAGACGTAATGATTAACCAAGGATACAACATCTCAGAAACACTTTCAAGGAAATAACTCTAGGGAAATAGTTCACCAATTATTCAGGGATACCAATTGGTTTGGACTCAGGAAAAGTCCAAGAGTTCATTTTGACTTGAGTCCCAGGGACTATTTGGAAGTTGTTCTGAGACATCCTAGGGTGGTAAAGAGAATCTATACAGAAGAAGAATTATGATTTTACTCTCGATACAACATTCCAGTAATCACAAAGAATACAACTATATGGCAAAAGCTGATGCTTATTGAAATCTGCAAATCAATTTGGAACAGCTCAAAAGAAAATCACAGAGTTGGCAATTGGCATTCGACAATTAACTTTTGAAAAGTTCATAAATGTTTTCATTCTTTGTATGGTTTTCCTCTTCTTTCAATGAATTGTTTCTCTCGTTTATTAAAGTGCCTTTATTAAAGTCAGGCTCAAACAAGGGGGGACTTCACCTTTTAAACCTCAGTCACATCACCAGGCCGACTCCAAACCGATTCCCAACCGACCAACATTCGGCCATTTGGTATAACGTAACTTTTTGTTTGGCCTGTTATTGGTCCGGTGTTGGCCTCGTCTGTGTGACTGAGGTACTGTATAACACATCACAAACATGAGAAATAAGAGGAATGGATAATACTTACCTCGGCCTCTCAACAACAACAGTCTGGACATGCTCAACGATAATAGAATGGTTTCCAAGCTCAAAGTTCTTGTTCAGGGTATGGTCGTAGAAGTAGGAGTTGTTTCCTAGGGGAAAAACATTGCGAGGACATTAAAACCTTGCAAACTGACAATACTATATGAATACAACCATTTAACCTAACTCTTTTGCGAGTTAAGAAAGTAGTCCAGAACCAGGATTGAATTGTTTTCAATCCGTAAAAGCTTCTTGTTGCAAAATAGGTGTTGTTAAATTCCTAAAATTTCCTGATGTACCAATACACTTTTCTGGAAAATGGAAGCAACTTCTACATAACATTTGCAAAGAAACAATTTAACATGTAGGAAAACACCTAAGAACATACAAATATTGGATATCAAGAGTATGTTGAGCATCTACTATCAATCAAAATTATCTTTTCCTTATAAGCATGCACTTTAGGTTTCAAAACGTTTCTGAGTATATTTGATATGAAAAAGGTGCAGAAAATGTCATATAGATGGACATGATAAGCTGGGCCCAGTTTCATAAAACTGGTAATCAATAACAAGTTACAAGCTACTGTTATAAGCTACTGAAATCAAGGCACCTGATTGGCTGAGAGCAAATTTGTCATAGGAATTTAGCAGTTGTTAGAGATAACAAGTTTTATGAAACAGGTGCCTGGTTCACCTACAATATCAATGACAAGTTACAAGCTACTGTTATAAGCTACTGAAATCATGGCACCTGATTGGCCGAGATCAAATTTGTCATAGAAATGTAGCAATTTTTATAGATAACAAGTTTTATGAAACCTACCCCAGATAGGGATTTGTCTGTAGATGTCCTGCTCTCCTGTGAGCACGTATTTGTTGGAGACATCGGACCACATGTTGTCCTCGGTGAAAGAGGTGTTGTATTCGATCATCTCCTCACATGGCATGCACTCGCAGGCAACAGCAGTGATGACTGGTTTGAGGTAGCCGAAGCCATTGTCGCACTGGAAGTCGGCCATCTTGCGCACAAACTTGCTTGGGCGGCTACAAGAGAAAAGGTATGTTTGATGCAAATTTGAAATACAAGTCTACATGAGTGCTAGATCCTTATGGCAAGCTTTGCAAAAAAAAGAGATTAGTATTGCGTCAACTGAAAAAAAGTCAAGACTTTAAATTCCGGTAATAACACACTAACTTTCACTCCTACCCCCTCTTATCCCTCTAAAATGACTCTTCAAGAGGTAGTAAGTTGGGTAATTCCAAATTGGATGCCAGCACTGGGATAACCAAATAAGTATCTGAATTTGTTATGAACTCTAACCCCTGTTGAACCCTGACAACCGCACATCCTGAGCAATCATACCCTAATTTGGTGACAGCGGTGGGATACTCACAGAGATTACATTGTGAACCTGACAACTTTTTGAGGACCCTTTCACTTAAGTCAATGGTGAGATAACCAAAGAGATGTGGTATACAACATGAATCCTATGGCCTGATGTCATCTCCAACCTGCATTAAGTATGGCACCATCTAAACTGGTGGCATGGTGGGATATCCCCAACGATTACCTCACAAACTCTACTCATGTTGGAACTACCTACCTGCACATCTTGATCATCTTGAACTGCTTGGCTCCGAAGCGACCGACACTGATCTTCTTCATCCTGGGTGTACCGACGCAGGTCACGTCCTTTACGATGGCCTGGCAGGTTTCGTTGCGCTGCTTGACGATGTTGGTGTAGGTCTCGCCGTAGCAGATGCCAGTCTGATCCTTGAACCAGTCATCTAATGGTATTAAAGATGACATAATTCTTTGGTCAAGCTTCAGAAGGCTTTTAGAAAGTAAAAATATGAATGACGTCTAGTGCAAGCCCAACCCAGAACTTCTTTTTATATTTCTGATCTTAGACAACAAGAACTGCACTTCAGAATAGTTTACAAGATCAGTTAAAGTTTATAAATGTTGTATGAATAACAGACATAATTAAGTGCTGGGACTTTATCTAATAATATCAGATACCGGAATATAAGATTGATTGTACTCAGGTTTAATCTCACACCAAACCAATTTTCATCTAGGACCAAGAGTAGGACTAGGTCCTCTATGAGAAGGGGGACTGCATAAACCATTTTTCATCTAGGACCAAGAATAGGAACAGGTCCTTCTGTAGAGAAGGTCCATTTTTCAAGGATTTAATAATGACTGATTGATTGAGATATAATCTTAGACCAAGGATAGGGCCAAGGATAGGACCAAGTCCTTACATGATGAAGCCTTGACGATGGCCTCCATGGAGCGGAGTGGCTTGGGTCCGAGGAAGGGTTGGTAGGATTGGTTCAGAGGGGCGATGGGAAGGAGCATGTCATAGTCCTTGCCCATGACGGTGCCTTCTCCAAAGAGGGCTGGGAGGGCGACAGACTGGTGGGCAATCATCAAGGCCTTGGTGATGTTCCAGCGCCAGCTTCCTGTCAACAACAATCAAAACAAAACCATAACAAAAATCCTTGATAGACAAGTTTGACTGTATTTTTATTTTTATACAGCAATTTTCCTGAAGATACAAAGCAATTTGTACGACACTTTTTTAAACCGATTATGAATGTACTATATCTGGATAGAGAGTGGCAAATGTAGATCAATGTCTTGAAAAAGGATATTATTGCCTTCACAATATACATACATAAACATTATGGGTACCCAGATTAAGAATAAGATTTATTTCCCAGGTTTTTTGTTTTGTTTTGGTTCTCTGTAGCTGAGATGTGAGACTGAGAAATTCCCAAGACCTTTTAAGTGTGGGCATCTATTCATCACGGAACTGCACCGACAATCTTCAAATCGACCCCAAAAAGGATTGAGCCCTGGACTAACCTGAGGTGTTGTAGGCGGTCACCAGGACGGGGTTCATCACCTCGCCAAAGTTGCAGACCTTAGCGATGTCCATGTTGACGTCGATCTCGACCACCTGGCCGTTGGGGCAGAGAAGACGGAGGTCGTTATAGGTGAAGCCCACCCTGTCGAGGAGGTCCGTGTCGCGGAGGGTCTGCTCGTCGAAGAAGGCCAGGTCGGCAACGCCGCTCTTGAGGCATCGAAGGGCGCCCTCATAGCCCTTGAAGTTGAGTGGGAGGTTGGAGTTGCAGGTCTTGGTGATCTCAGTCTGGTGATTCTGTTGGGTTCCATAAAAAAAAAATCCATGGTGAATATTTAACTAAGATTTGAGAATGTGATTTGTTACATGATATACTGAAGTATTTTTGTAATGTGATAATTTGAAATGGCTTTCTAGAATAATCTCTTTTTAAACAGGCAGAGTGCTTGACCATGTTTCATCCCAGTTTAGAATATGAAGTCACTGGACACCTTAAAACCTTACCATACAGATTCTTCAAGTGTAGAATTTAGGTGGTTAAGAGAGTGTTAGTAAATGAAATATGACATTCAAAATCTTTAAATTGGCACCGTGTAATTAAAGTGAAATGTATCATTCTTCAATACAGAAACCAAGAAAAATGAATAATTAATATCAAGATGAATCTGTCTTAGCTAAGCCTTTAACGCATTTCTATTCATGCCTTGATCTTTCCCTTTCACTTTCTTTTTGTCTCCCCTATTTCATTTTATCAGTCTGTTGATTTTGTATATATATATATATATATATATATATATATATATATTGTAATCAAACTCTATATGCGATGTTGTTAAAATGATATAAAGTAATAAAGTGCCTCGTATGAGGAAAAGAGAAAGAAAGAAAAAGAAAAAAAGAAGAAAAAAAAAAGGGAAAAAAAGGAAAAAAAAAAAAAGAAAAAGAAAAGAAAGAAAAAAAAAAAAATCATTTTCAATACAAATTCACTACAGTGTATGTTGAATCATTGTTCTATGCAGATTCCATCACTTTAATTGTAGCTCCTAGTTTGTTTTAAGAATAAAGATATCAGCAAATCAATGAAAACTATCCATGTTGCCAATTTGAATACAAAAAGCTGATTTGTTATCATGAGGATTTAATTTATCTAACCTTGACAAGGTCAAGGTAGGTGTGGACCTTGGGAGAAAGCCAGAGAGGGTTGGTGTAGCGGTTGAATTCGCGCTCACGGAGCTCCACGTTATCGAAGGGCTCGACGAAGGTCTGGGAGAGACGGGGGAAGTAGATCTCGACGTAGCTCTGTCATTTGGTGTTCAAAGAAGAGAGCAACCATGTAAGGGAAGAGGATAAAGAGGGAGAGAGTAAAAATATCAGTTAGATATGTGCTTTCATGACTTTTATTTAAGAATTCACTACTGTTTTCATATGCTTTAATCTATTTAAAGTAATTAATACATTCATTGTCTGCTCCAACAATCAGACTTCTTTGTAAACGTCCCATTTGTATCCTATTCTTGGTTTACAACAGAAGCTTTACACTACTAAAAATACATGAAGAAACATCACATTTCTAAACTCTATATCCTAGATGAGATAAAGCCTAGAGAAAATGTTGCCCGAAGCAATCATTGCACTAATATCCTTTGGCCAGATATTAACCCGCACTTGCTACTCTCCACCCAGGTGTTAAATTGGTACCCGGTAGGATGTGACCGTCATTGTTGGTCAAACATTCTTTTGAGCGTCAAGTAACGCCTGGCTGGAATAATCCCCAGGGAGTGGAGATTGTACACACAGTGTGTGCGGGCAAGTATTGAATCCAATGACCGGGGTAATAGTATATCTGTAAGGCGCTTAGAGACATTTGTTTAAGCGCTGTATAAAAGCAGAATATTATTATTATTATTATCATTGTCATCTTACCATGATGGCAGGGTGTTTGAGGACAGTGGTGATCTCTACATCCTTGAAGTCTGTGAGGTATGGAATGGTCTTGACGTGAGAGATGATCTCCTCAAGGGTGCTGATCTTGTCGCTACGGAGCTCCAGAAGCTTGCTGAACACATCCACCATCAGATGACCCTGGAATGTTCTGAAAAATTGGCAGAAAAAGAAGACTTTGGGGTTAGATGGTTCTTTATTAGAGGTTTTCGTGGTGAGAAGATAATGTATAAATATCATGGTGACACAAGTGTGGGTGGGTCCTTGCAAGGACTTTTATTGATTCCTTTGTGGAGGAGAATCAGGTCATAAAAGAACTAAAGTTCAATCAGATCAATGAACTACAATATAGCTTTGAAAATACTTCTGGAAAGCATTTTTTGATATCAGAACTATTTGGAAGGAATACTGTATGTAGGGGTTTCGTGGTCTAGTGGATATGTTTTTGGACTGTGGTTCACATGGTTCATGATTTGAGTACCACCCCGGCACTGCTGTCCTTTGGCAAGACATGAATCTACATTTGCCACTCTCCACCCAGGTGCTAAATGGGTACCGGTAGGAAGGAATTCCGCCTTGAATACCGTGAGGACTGAAATCGATAGCTAGCAGAGCCGGGGTAAAATTTTGAGCGACTTGAAGGGTGAATACGTGTGCTGAAAAAATATCCAATATTGTGATTATTATTATCATATTGGGGGAGGGATAGATAGACTGAAATTAAAAAAACATGGGAAGGAGATCAAGGCAGTTCAACTGTTTATCATTTTTTTTTAATACGTACTCCTGGATGACGTTTCCAAATGGATGATCCTTGTTCTGCAACCTCTGCTGACGAGCATCTTTCATCTTGTTGACGATATCGACCTTATCGGACAGTGTGCGGACGGCTTCGAAGTTGGGGAAGGAGTTGCTCAGACTGGTAAAAGAAATAAATAGAAAAAGAAAAACGATGAAAACGATGTGATCGGTCAAAGCAAAAGAGTATTAAAGTATTAAAGTCGCACTTCTTTTTTCAATCAGTGAAAGATTTTGTTTAGTTATTCTTGAACAAAAAAAGAATAAATTCAAACAAAAATATAATGTGATACATTGGTATAAAGGGATTTAAAAAAGAAGAAGATTGCATCACTTGTACATGTCTCAATTTAGTCTAGTAGTAACATAATTCTAGCCCTTACACTCTACCTAATAGTAGCCCTAAACCTAAATTGCATTAATTATGAGTTCTTCGGTAGGACAAGCCATAATGTTTGTCCTACCTACATGTAGCAACAACCATGATATGGAATTAGCATTCTGACGGTTGAAATACAATTATTCATAACAGGTTAATGACAAAATGTGTAATGTGGCACTTAACAAAGATCAGGGATGCCAGTTAGAATTGATCAGAGGGCCTGAAAATCACCTAGAATGTGCTATTTTGTACGAATAAAAGCCTAAACTATGGTCAGAACATAATTCACCAGGGCCTGAATTCATGCTATTGACTGAAAACTGGCATCCCTGAAAGATTTATACATTAAATTTGATTACATTAGGAGAATGGTCTATTGGATATCTTACCGGTCACGCAACATGTTCATCTTCTGCTTGCCCTCGGGTCCGATGGTGTCCTGGACACCCTTGACCAGGTCAGAGATACCCTCGACCCCTACGAGGTCATCGAGGAGTTCAACGTTCCTGGGGGAGGAGAGGTTTTGGTTGAAGATGTGCGAGGTCAGGTTCTGCTTCTTCAGCTCAATCAGCTTCTTGATGTCAAGACTATATAAGATTCAGGATTGAAAGATAGTGATAATAAGTTAATATGTTGGCTTAAAGTGATGAGTAGTGTTGCTGAAAGCTCTGTCTCTCTCTCTCTCTCTCTCTCTCTCAATCTCCTTCAAAGATTTTATTCAGGATTAAAAGACATTGATAAGTTGACTTAAAGTGATGAGTAGTGTTGCTGAAAGCCCTTTCTCTCTCTCTCTCCGTTTCTCTCTCTCTTTCTCTCTCAATCTCCTTCTAAGATTTTCCTCTCTCTATTTGCCTTTCAGTTTCAATTTTGCCTGTTTTGCTATCTTTCCATCATGCTTGTCTATTTTTGTCTTCCTTCCTTTTTTCAAGTCCCCCCCCCCCCTCTCTCTTTCTCCTTTTTTTTCCCCCTACATGCCCCCCTCTCCTGATCTCCTCGCCCCCCTCTAGCAATCTCTCTCTCTCTCTCTCTCTTCCTCTCTCTCTCCCTCATCTCCCGCTCCCCCTCTCTCTTTGTCCTCTCCATGCATTTCTTGCCCTCCCTTGAGCTATCTTTCTTTCTCCCTCTCTCTCTCTCTCTCTCTCCCCCCCCCCCCCCCCTTTATCTCTCTCTCTCTGCTGCCCCGATCCCCTCCATCTTACCCGGTAGAGACCTTCCTGTTGTAGGTGAGGAAGTTCCAGGTGGCGGGTGTGTTCCACAGGAGCCACTCCTGCCCGGTGAAGTTGTACATGTTGAGGGAGGAGAATCCCCAGTTCATCTCGCGGCCGAGGAGAAGATCAGAGTCCAAGCGCCAGGTCTCGGGCTCGATTTCTGCAAGAAAGTTAAAGGAACATATTGAATAGAAAGTACAAAATATTAAAGTAAGAATTCCAGAATTGGGACTTAGCAAAGAAAGTGAGCAAGACAGAGAGACACACAGGATAACAATGAAAAGTAAACGTTTTTGTATAGCGCATAACACATGGGCGTAAACAGTAACTGTGTATGAAAATATAACATTTCCCCCATTAAGATTTTGTCATAGTTTGTGGGACATAATATAAAGACTTTCTACTGGTATGCAGAGTCCTTTCTGCTTTATACTGTATTAACAATTCAGTTTATTGTTTGCCATATTTCACATGATACAAATATTACAATATAAAAACAATTCTTTGTGAATCATAATCACACAAAAGGAAATGAGATACATATTACAAATGTAGTTATTGATCTAGTAATATATCAGCTTTTACAAGAAGAAGAACATATTTATTTGATAATGAAATATGAAAGCGATATATTAACGATTCTATGAGATATGATGGAGCAGACTGATGTTTGTGTTTACCTGGGACGCAAGTGGCCTGGAAGTACCTGTTGACAGACTCAAAGACGGATCCGATACGTGGGATGGTGCCGTTGGCGAGGAGATAACCAATGGGGCTGTGGAAGGCTGAGAACTGTAAAATGGGAAATGTTTTGAGCATACATAAATGAATAGGAATGACTGATCTTTACTTGATGGTTATCTCATCAAATCAGCTCTAAATTAACATAAGAAAAGGAGGACCATGGGGTACCAATGGTCACCGATTAGGCATTGCTTGCAATATAGAGGGCGCAATTAGCTATAAGTAGTGCAGTGGGGCTTTAACTTACATTCTTGAGACCAGCAGAGCAGATCTTGAGCTTCCAGAGGTCCTTGATGTACTTGGGTTGTCCTTCAGGAACGCTGAGAAGGCCTGGGAACTTGGCGAGGGAAGACCTCTTGATGACTGCCAGGGTCCTGGTGTAGGTGTGGTTCATGGTTACGCTGTCCTGCGAATACCAAGAAATGGAAGGAGAAAAATATAACGTTACAGACAGAACTTTCAAGTATTTACAGAGTTTGAAGGATCTATAAAGAAAATACAGACAGTTATCACTGTAGCTGATGTTTCTGATGGGATATCGAGGTCTACACTTTCATACTGGACTGAAATAATTAAATGCCTTACCCGCACTCCTTAACCATAACTCTAAATCTGACATACAATAAAAATGCAATACAAGTCCCAACTCAATAACATGGACAACATAGAAACTGGACCAAATGTTGCTTGAGCAAACTATTTATACAAAAATTCACATCTGTGACAAAATGACAAGCTTGAAGAAGTATCTTTCACAAAATAAACGCTAGAGCAATTAAAGAAAACCTGGAGCAAATGTTGGATCAGCGAGCACTTACATTGCGGTGGACGGACATAAGAGGGTCGAGCAGGAACTCCTTGCCAGCGATGAAGGTCTCCATTGGGTTGGCCTTGAAGAGGTCAGCGGTGTTGTTGTGGACGGCTTGCATACATTCAATGCTGGAGTTGGCAAGGACACAGCCCCAGGCAACCTTCTTGACCTGTAGATCAGGAAATGGAGAAGGGGACTTAACTTTACCAGGTGTCTAGGACACACACTGGTCAATGAAAATTCATGTTCCGCAAAATGGGATCATAAATCTGACGCCAGGTTTGAAACAGTAGTCTGTTACAAGCCAGAAGGGCATTAGCTCATATCAATCTACACATAGCAACAGCCCTTCTAGGCCCAAACAGAAGATATGAATGTAGTCTTATAAAAATATTGTTATCATTGTTTCAATCCATATGAATTTTCAAAAATCCACTAAAAATGACCCCCAAAACACTTGGGTTTGAGAACCTGCAAGAAAAATCTAAATATAGATTTGCAATTGGCAGGAGTAGAATTGAATTTCCAGTTGTGTCTATCGAGTACATGCTTTACAAAAGGTATCAAGTGTAAGCTAATTAAGATACCTTCTCAATGGTGCCTGCCAACTTCAACTGTTACCTTTGGAACATTCTCTTTGGTGCCTATAGTTCAAGCTTTACCTAAGGCACCTCCTCAATGGTGCCAACTAAGTTATTGAGGTACCATCTCTGTGGTACCTGCCAAGTTCAACTGTTAACTTTGGAACATTCTCTTTGGTGCCTACTGAGTTCAAGCTTAACCTAAGGCACCTCATCAATGGTGCCTACTAAGTTATTGAGGTACCATCTCAATGGTGCCTGCCAAGTTTAACTATTACCTTCTCTTTGGTGCCTACTGAGTTCAAGTTGTACCAATAAGGCACCTAATTAATGGTACCTACTTAGTTGCTGAGGTACCATCTCTGTGGTACCTTCCAAGTTCGAGCTTTAGATGAGGTGCACAAACCTTTTCTATGGTGCCTATTTACAAGTACAAGCTTTACCTAAGGCAACTTCTCTTTGGTGCCTACTGAGTTCAAGCTATAAGGAACCTTCTTGATGGTGCCTACTATTAAAGTTATGAGGTATCCTCTTTATCTTTATGGTGCCAGCCAAGATTAAGCTTTACCTAAGGTATCTTCTCAGTGGTGCCTACCAAGTTCAAGCTAAACCTAAGGTACCTTCACTATTTTAACTCTGTCAAGTTCAAGTTTAATTTACCTCTGGGATGTTCTCAGCAATGCCCTTGAAGCGGCGGCAGGCTTCGTACTCGGTAACGTTGGTAATGCAGATCTTGGCACGGGGCTTGGGCACCAGTTTGGAGCAGACGTTGTAGGCAGCATAGACTTCGCCAGCGTAGACCTTGCTGTCGTCGACGATCTTCATGGTGTTGGACTCTTCCAGGAAGATCAGGTTCTTGTTGAGCGGCTTGCCGGTCATCTGGCACTTGCCACAGTCGTAGACGGACGAGTCAAAGATGTTGAAGTTGACATCTCGGTCAGTGTTGCCATAAAGCTGGGGATGGTTAATTGAGAGGGGGGTCAACTTTCTTTCTTCATTTCTTCATTCTTTCTTTACAGTATTGCCCAACAGACTTACTTTCTTTCTTTCTATATTTCTTTTCTAACATTGTTACCCAACACTCCTAAAAGGGGCAAAACATTATAGATTTTTGTCATGAAAAGAGGGAGAGATAGAGAGAGAGACAAGTTTTCCTTACTATCTACTTTGCTGAGAGAGGCGGTTATGGATGGTATTTGTATTTATCTTTGTCAATAATTAATTTCAAAGAGTTTGGTAGTATATTTCATCTATCTCTTCATATGTTAACAATAAATTCTATGCAATTCAAAAGAATCCACTACAAAGCTATTTCCCCCCCCCCTCCCATCCTTATTTAAATACCTCCATCATCTTTACGACGAGGGTCTTCATATCAGTCTCCTTCTGCTGGGTGTTGTTCTTGTTGATGAAGATGGTGGGGCGAGCGGTGTGGCCGACGTGGCATGTGACGTCGGTGAAGATTTCCTCGTCGAGAGGCCTGCTCTCGTCACGGCAAACAACCTGGAAGTTGTCCCTCACTGAAAGTCAGAAAAGATTTGAGATGAAGTTGAGAATTAGTAATGCAAATACATCATAAAATAAACTAGTGATCTGGAACAAGTGGGAAAGGTTGGTTATGTTAGCACATTGGAATAATGAGTACTGGGACGTTTTGAAATGGTCCGACAAAATGGAAAGACATCGATTAAATCTTGCTGAAGATTTCAGGCACGTGTTGTACACAGAAATGGGTGTATGGGACTACACACCAAAGTTTGGTCCAGAGGTTACACCGTTTGGCTCTTGAAGGACAGCTTTGGAAAGAGCACAAGTGTCAGGTCCTTCTTTAACTCATTCATTCTTTTATTTTTTCTATCACTGTTAAACTCACTTCAGCCTACATGAACAGCTGCTCTTCATGCAGTGGCAGTAAGTTCCATGTGGGTCCTATCTGAATTTAGTTTGTTTTAAAGTGTGTATAATATACCTAGAAAGCTATGAAATAATTAACAGAATGCAATTCCTTGCTGGCCAAGCTTCCTTTCGCGGTCACAAAAATGAAATAAAATCACGGCCGCCTCCTGAAAAAATGGAAGAAACGATCACATTCCTCGGCATCAGTCGTAACTTATGAAATACTCACCATTTGGATCACTCATGATCTTCTTGATGACCTTTTGGTCGACGAAGGTGACCTGTCCCTTGCCCGACTCGAGGCAACTGAGGGCTCCCTTGATGCCGGAGTACTTGTACTGCTGATCCTCACACAGAGTGACGAGGCTAAGAGGGTAGGTGCCGTTCTTGTTGTAGGTCTTGTTCAGGACACCTTATAGAAATGAAAGATTTGCTTTTAAAGAACTTTATTCAATACCATGTTGGTACTTTTTTGAGAGGGCAAGTGCCAGGTCTTGTTCAGCTACGACACCTTAGAAAAGAAAGATTTATTTTTTAAAGAACTTTATTCAATACCATGTTGGTAATTTTTTGAGAGGACAAGTGCCATTCTTTTTGGAGGTCTTGTTCAGGACACCTTAGAAAAGAAAGATTTACTTTTAAAGAACAGTATTCAATACCATGTTGGTAATATTTTGAGGTTAAAGATAATCTATTGGTTTCTTTCTTGAAACGTTCTTGGACTTTTGCTCTGGACCCATTAATTTGAAAGGCTGAGAGGGTAGGTGCCTCAAACACAGCCATTTAGAATTATGCTTTTGATATTAAAGAAATACATCCTAATCCTAATCCTAGTCCTAATCCTAATCCTAATCCTAATCCAACATCAATCTCACCTGGTACACAGCTCTCCTGGACAAAGTCAGAAAAGCTCTCGATATGGTTTGAGAACAGCCATTTAGAATTATGCTTTAGCTATTAACGAGGATACATCCTAATCCTAATCCTAATCCTAATCCAACATCGATCTCACTTGGTACACAGCTGATATTTAAGAAAATATAGCTTAATCCATAATCCTAACCCTAATCCAACATCAATCTCACCTGGTACACAGCTCTCCTGGACAAAGTCGGAGAAGCTCTCGATGTAGTTTCCGGTGACGGGAATAACGCCCTCTTTGATGAGATTGCAGACAGGGTCGGCAAAGCTGGCTGGCATGTCGATACCGGCGTGGCACGTGGTCTTGTCGCGGAGCTCGGCGAAGGTGTTGGGGTTCACGAGGCGGGATGACTTGAGGGCAAAGGTCACATTCTGGTAATGCTTCAGGATCTGGATCTATAATTCAATTCAATTCAATTCAATTCAGTTTATTTCGCAATATGAAAATCAAAGTATACAAGGTAACAGCCAATTTTCAACTATATTTACTGGTACAAAGGTTATAAGCGGGGCTTTTCAAGAATGTTGCGAAAACCTGTAGAGTTGGATCGCAATTGATAGTGAGAAAAAGACATAACGTCAGGCCTGTAATCTACTTTATATTCGAACCCGACCCAGGTTTCATTCCAATCTAACTGAAGTGTAACAAAACAATTTGCAACTGGTAACACACAATGGATATGCAACTCACAGTCAGATTTAGGGGAGGGGGCACAACTGGCCCATGCACCCCTTTTAAAACCAATTGGTATACACAAACAGGTGTTAAAATCACTGCTACACCCCCTCCCCCTCCTTTTTTTTTAAATTTTAAATCCCAAAAGGCATAAATGAGCAAAGTGATAACTTTTTGTTGCTTGTTTGTTGGAAATTCCTGTCATTAATTTGCACTAAAAATATTGTGATAGACCATCTTTACATGCACATCAGCTATATTTTGGAACTGTATCAGCCCCCCCCCCCCCCCACAAACCCCTGGATACGCCCCTGATCCCACTAATTACCTCTGGTTGTTGATCATTGATGGTGGTTTCATAAGCGATAGGTTTCAGGTTGAAGGTGGTGTTGGCAGAGTAGACCTGTCCCTCACGTGTGGTCATGATGTCAGCCCATCCTTGCTCAATCCTACAAAGACCAGAATAAATCAATTCGAGGGTTCAGGACACAAAGATGTAACTCCATATTTTGCCAAAATGAGTATTTGATATCAAAATGTTCAGAAAAATGTAGGCCGTCCAGGAAACACAAAGACTTAACTTCACCCAACACCCCATTGAAGTCGATGGCTAGTGAAACATACATGTAGACTTAACTCCTTAAAGCCCAAGCGCTCAGTGACACATTTTTTCTCAAAATAGCCAAAATGGAGTTACGTCTTTGTGTGACTGACCCACTTGAATTATTATATACCACATCAAATCAAATTTGAATAACCCTTTCAATACTACAATGCCATAGGCAATTTGAAATGCCCAAAATTTTGATACAGTATACAGTCCTTTTGGTAAAAGAAAAGATTGGAGATTCTTCATAACAAATAAATTGTAAAATGGGTATGCAGATAGTGGTATTAGTATCTGATATTATGTGGCATAAAACTCTGTCCCGATTTTTATGTTACACACCATATTTAGAATATTAAGGCATTTGAAGAGCCAAGCTTTTCATTGAACATTTTTTATCAGATGTTCTTCCACACTTGCATAATACAATGATAATTAATGGTCACAGATTATTTTTCACCTCTTCCCAGAACTCGATCAACCTTCTCTTTAAAAACAACTCAACTACAACACCTCTACTTAAGACAACAAACGTGGGACCCGTTTCACAAAGTCTTTTTTCAATGACAAATGACAAATACTAGTGACAAATCTGCTGATAACCAATCAGAAGCAAGGATTTCAGTAGCTTATAACAACAACTGTCATTTGTCACTGATGACAAGTTTTGTGAAACCCCCCTCATGGACTCACCAGAACATACACTGCTCCTGGGAGGTAGCCTGGGTGCACTTCCATTGCTTCCTGGGGACCATGTTAGGGCTGTAGGTGAACTCGCTGACCATCCTCTGGCACTTGGTCATCTGGCAGCGGCTCGAGACGCACCATCTGACTGTGTCGGGGGAGGGGGTGGTGCGGCGGCGCTGATCGGGGGCGGGGTACAGACCCACCTTACGGATGAAGTCCTGGGTCTTCTGGATGGCCTGGCGGACCTCGTCCACGCTCTGTCTAGGTTGCTCCACACCGACCTCCACATCAACATCTGTGGGTGATAATGAGGGTTAATCATAATAATAATAATAAATTGTTTCTTTTATAGCGCCATCTAATTTAGAACTGATCAAAGCGCTTTACAAAACAAACAAATCAATGAATTAAAACTAAACAAAAATATGATAGAAAATGTATTACAGTTAATTACAATGTGAATAGGTGTGCTTTACAATGCAAAAGGTAGAAAAATCATATAATTTTGTTCAGATTCGCAGATGATTAACACTTGAAATAAAAACATCAAAAAAAAAGTTGTTGTGTGGATTTGTAGGTAAAAGGCAAATAAGCACTTTGATCTGTATAGTGGCAACCAGTTGAACAGTAAAAATCTCAGTTTCCCAAATAGCCAATTTGCAACTTTCAAATCTTCATCTAACAGTAAACTGGATGAGTTCACATATTTATGTTGACATTAATGTTGCACTGGGTTCATTCACACAGAGAGGATGGTTAAGGCATAGGCCTACATAAGGCATCAATGGGAATGTTCACATTTCTCTTTTAATGTTTCACTAGGTATGTTCATACAGGGATATCAGAGAGATCGGAGATTGATGTTTTAAATTAAATCAAATAGAAGAAGAGAGACTTTTCAATTTTACATCTTAAAGCAGATCCTTGCATTTCCTTGATATTTTAAAGTATTTCTTACCAGCTGGGATTGGAGGAACACAGATCCTGATGTCGTTCTCATATTGGCAGCACTTGTAGTTTTCCTGTCCTTGGCTGTTGCAGTTCCAGTCCCAGGTTAATCCATACACGTAAGAGCAGCGTGTTGCTTCAATCATGACCTGATCACTGGGTTGAGGTGGGCAAGTTCCGGGCCTCGAGCCTGATGATTAAATAAAGAGAATGATTTAATAAGGTTTATTGCCATTTGGTCTACAAACTACCCATTTTTTTTACAGTCTTTACAGTCTGAATGTTCAACGTTTTTACACTTATGATGAATCAATAAAAAGTGGCCTGCATTTCATATTTTCAAAGTATAGATCCAGATCTAGTTTCTGCTGACTTTCTAGAAATAGAATCTCAGAATCTCAGAATGGTATTTAGACATTGCTTAGAAGCACTAAGGTCTAGAGGTGGTGTCGCTTCCATGCAATGTGCATTTTAAATTGATGCATGGTTCTTTTGGAGGCATAGTTTAAAGGATTGTGTAGAGTTCAGGTTTCTGACGCCTGGCGGGATTGCTCATTTTAATTTATATATTTTCACCTTTATCAATTTTAATTTCCTTAAAATATAATAATTAAGAAACTATGTGAACTACTTGTACAATCACAACTATATTCTAGACTGATTATGATAGGAAAAATCTAAGGTTTAAATTAAGAAATGGTCCATGAATTTGTTTTACAAGAACAAAAGCCAACAACGAAACAGTAACATAAATTCAAACGAAACCCGACACGAATTTCAATGGGTGGGGCTTTAATCAATCAGTTTCATACACACAGCCGGGTCACAGCATGGACAAAAACAATAAAATCACAAAATTCCTACATCCATAGACATTTTACCATCGTTGAAATCATCAGCAAATTAATTATGTGATAATTGAATACCTCATCAATACGTTAAACGTTACGAACATTGAAAATCAAACCTGTTTATTGCAGCCGCATGCCGCAGCAGCCTACAACTTAGCTTCGTTATGATTGCGAGGTTCGCTGCCCTCATGCGGTCTGTTTTTAAAAGTTTGACTCTCTACTTCCTATCAAAATATCTTGGATACAGTTTTCTTAGAAATTTGATTTTAAATTAATTAAAAAATTAATAGGAAATAAACATATAAAATTAAAATCATATAGATCTAGGTCTACTCCCTAAAGATTGTATATCTGTCTCTTCTGGGGGGGGGGGGCAATATATTATAATGATGATTGATATCAAAAGATCTAACTAAAAAGAAAAACTGTTAGTTCTGATTTCTGAACATGCAAAATTATCCCCCTATTAACTGAACGCTTGTGGTATGATTTGACAAAGTTAACTGTATCTCAGAGGCATTATGATGCAGATAAGTTCTAAATACAGTCCATAGAAAACCAAACGATCATTTAAGTTGTGGTGTAGAATAGCAAAAGATTAAATGTAACTTACCCAACGAGCGGCTTGGCACGGCCATAGAACTGGCCACCAGGCAAAAGAGAATTGCAGCCCTCATGATGACAACTTCTCCGAGCTGAGTTGATGAAAATCGGCAACAAAGTCCTCGAATAATGCTCAAATCAGACACTGCCAAAGCCTGTCTGAAGCGCAAGATGAACATTTAATCAAAGATGTGGGGTTTATATAGGCTTTTGATTATCTTCATTTTCACAACATATTGCGCACGGCAAGGAACCGCCAGGGCTCCATCCCATCCAGGTGCTGCGATTTGCTCAAAGTTCGATCGTCACGTTTCCAGCACCTGCCCCGTTCTGATTGGTTGGATCTTGGTAGGCGGGGTGGAGTCAAGGATCAATTGACCAATCAGTGAGGAGTTTCGATAAAGAGAATGGGTGCTGGTGGTGGATAAGTTTGGTACTGTGGAAGTTTGATCGACTGTTTTTTGGAACGATGTGGCGTGATTATGTTTTTGTCAAAGGTTATTTTTCTTTCTCTTTTGTTTATTTTGTTGATATTTTTCAGGTTGTTTTTGGAAAACGATGTACCGAAGGATTCTGAACCATGATTCTCGGTACACTTAATATGAGAGGTGCAGGTATAGATTTATTTCGGGTTACCTTTCTACTATCCTCTCTTTGTATTTAAACTACATTAATGTTTCACGTAGTTTTGATTTTTTTAAAAAAACCATGATTATAATCAGATCATCATCATCAACGTCCATCTTCCTCCTCTTCCTCCTCCTCCTCCTTCTCGTTATCATCACCACCACCGCCATGATCCTCATTATCATCATCATCAACAACAACATCTGACCGTCACAACCATCCTCCTCTTCCTCCTAGTCCTCGACATCATCATCATCATCATCACTCATCTTATCTCAACTCCTTTCCTTTCAGTCTTCTTCTTCTTCTTTCTCTCTTTTCTTGGGCTCCTTATCCTCTTTTTTTCTCCCTCTTCATTTCGCCCCTTACTAAATATGGCCATATCTTTTATTTTAAAACAATAACAACAAGTAGGGTGAAACTGTAAAGGAGACCCCCCCCCCCAGCCACCCATCCACCATCACATTTCTCCATGTCATGGGCTAGGCCTCGCTGTAGATGCTTGAGCTATACGAAGATACAACGACAATTTCATGGTACAATGTCTGTCTAGAGTGCATAGCGATGTTTGTTACTTGGTTGTAAAATATTCTTCAGATATTTATGTCATAAAGCACGAAGCGCATTGATTTTGTTAAAAACTTTATGGCACAGACGTGTCAATACGATATTAGCAGTAAGTAATTTGGTTATCCCATTTATTAGCAGTAACAAATATTGCACGTCAAAACGGAAAGCGTGCGGGGCCGACAAATAGGATTTTGTCTCTATCTACTTTGTTAATGGCGTCTGCACGTATGAGAGATATTGGGATAACTTGGTTTCAGCATTTTTGAGATAGCATATATCCAGGGCATGTGAGTTAAAAGTTTAAAGTCTCACCTCCCTGATATATCAATGAAGGAAAATTGACTGGCACAGGCTGGTGTGAGTTTATGTTGGTTTTCATACATGTTTGTCAGTTTGCCCCCCCCCCCGGCCCCCACCCCCCCCCCCCCCCCACTCAGTGTTATTTAGGGTACGCATTATGCTTGTTCCCTCTTTTTGAAAGCACTCCCTATCTGAGGACTGCCAACATTTTCGAACCCCCCTTTCGCGGGCTTTTCCTGCCTTGGAGACCCCCCTAAATCAGGAAAAATGCTCTATGTACCCCCTAAATTCAGAATAATTTCTCAGGAGTCCAAAGAGATGAGAGAAAAAAAAGAAGAAAAAACGCCCCCTTTTTAAAGAAATCTCCGGGTGAAAAGTCAAATACACCCCTTTTTTTACAATTCTCGGGCCGGACTTTGTCGCACGAAAAGTACCCAATTACCGGACATTTTGGCAACACGCATGCGGTCATTCTGACCTCTGAGTGGGGGGGGGGGGGGGGGGGGGGGGGCGGGGTTTGCCCACTTCTGTTTAGCTTATTATTTATCACAGAGTAAAGTCAGACAAAACAACTGGTAATATGATCACTCTCTTGGTAATTGTATATTTGTGCTTACTACTGCAGTATAGGCATTTTCTTTCATATGTCATCACCACCACCACCACCATGATTGTCATCATCCTCATCGATAGCAGCAGCATCATTATCATCACCATTATAATTACCTGTCACCACCACCACATCATCACCATCCCCATCAGTACCATGCGTCCCACTCTCTCTTACTTATATCATCCTCATGCAGGCGCGGATCCAGGATTTCTTAGGGGGGGGGCCCAAATTTGAAATTATGCGAGCCAAAAATTGGAACGTAATGGTGACCAGCAGTGACGTAATGCGGGGGGGGGGGGTGGGTGCAGGGAGGGGCGAGTTTCCCCCTCCCTCCTCCTCGAAACGCGATAGCTTTGACGTTTCATTAAATTATTAGAGAAAGAAGACGATTCATAGTACCGTTCTCGAAAATAATCCTCGTCTGAATTCAGGTCCACCCCTCCCGCGCGAAGCGCGGAAAATTTTACGTTTCATTAAATAATTAGAGAAACAAGACGATTCGTTGTACAGTTCTCGACTCTTAATCCTCGTCTGAAAACAGGTTCCCACCTCCCGCGCGAAGCGCGGAGCTTTTACGTTTCATTAAATCATTAGAGAAAAAAGACGATTCGTTGTACATTTCTCGACTCTTAATCCTCGTCTGAATTCAGTTTCCCCCCTCCCGCGCGAAGCGCGGAAGCTTTTACGATTCATTAAATCATTAGAGAAAGAAGACTATTCGTTGTACCGTTCTCGAAAATAATCCTCGTCTGAATTCATTTTCACCGCCCCCCCCCCCCCCCCGGCCCCTCCTGCGCGAAGCGCGGAAGCTTTTACGATTCATTAAATCATTAGAGAAAGAAGACGATTCGTTGTACAGTTCTCCACTCTTAATCCTCGTCTGAATACAGGTTACCCACTCCCGCGCGAAGCGCGGAAGCTTTTACGATTCATTAAATCATTAGAGAAAGAAGACTATTCGTTGTACCGTTCTCGAAAATAATCCTTGTCTGAATTCATTTTCAACGCCCCCCCCCCCCCCCGGCCCCTCCTGCGCGAAGCGCGGAAGCTTTTACGATTCATTAAATCATTAGTGAAAGAAGACGATTCGTTGTACCGTTCTCGACTCTTAATTCTTGTCTAAATGTAGTCCCAACCCCCAACCCCTCCTGCGCGAAGCGCGGAAGCTTTGACGTTTCATTAAATTATTAGAGAAAGAAGACGATTCGTTGTACCGTTCTCGAAAATAATCCTCGTCTGAATTCAGTTACCCCCCCCCCCCCCCTCCCGCTCCCGCGCGTAGCACGGAAGCTTTTACATTTCTTTAAATCATTAGAGAAAGAAGACGATTCGTTGTACAGTTCTCGACTCTTAATCCTCGTTTGAATACAGGTTACCCACTCCCGCGCGAAGTGCGGAAGCTTTTACGATTCATTAAATCATTAGTGAAAGAAGACGATTCGTTGTACCGTTCTCGACTCTTAATTCTTGTCTAAATGTAGTCCCAACCCCCCAACCCCTCCTGCGCGAAGCGCGGAAGCTTTGACGTTTCATTAAATTATTAGAGAAAGAAGACGATTCGTTGTACCGTTTTCGAAAATAATCCTCGTCTGAATTCAGTTACCCCCCCCCCCCCCGCTACCGCGCGTAGCGCGGAAGCTTTTACGATTCATTAAATCATTAGAGAAAGAAGACGATTCATAGTACCGTTCTCGAAAATAATCCTCGTCTGAATTCAGGTTCACCCCTCCCGCGCGAAGCGCGGAAAATTTTACGTTTCATTAAATAATTAGAGAAACAAGACGATTCGTTGTACAGTTCTCGACTCTTAATCCTCGTCTGAAAACAGGTTCCCACCTCCCGCGCGAAGCGCGGAGCTTTTACGTTTCATTAAATCATTAGAGAAAAAAGACGATTCGTTGTACATTTCTCGACTCTTAATCCTAGTCTGAATTCAGTTTCCCCCCTCCCGCGCGAAGCGCGGAAGCTTTTACGATTCATTAAATCATTAGAGAAAGAAGACTATTCGTTGTACCGTTCTCGAAAATAATCCTCGTCTGAATTCATTTTTACCGCCCCCGGCCCCTCCTGCGCGAAGCGCGGAAGCTTTTACGATTCATTAAATCATTAGAGAAAGAAGACGATTCGTTGTACAGTTCTCGACTCTTAATCCTCGTCTGAATACAGGTTACCCACTCCCGCGCGAAGCGCGGAAGCTTTTACGATTCATTAAATCATTAGAGAAAGAAGACTATTCGTTGTACCGTTCTCGAAAATAATCCCCGTCTGAATTCATTTTCAACGCCCCCCCCCCCGGCCCCTCCTGCGCGAAGCGCGGAAGCTTTTACGATTCATTAAATCATTAGAGAAAGAAGACGATTCGTTGTACAGTTCTCGACTCTTAATCCTCGTCTGAATACAGGTTACCCCCTCCCGCGCGAAGCGCGGAAGCTTTTACGATTCATTAAATCATTAGTGAAATAAGACGATTCGTTGTACCGTTCTCGACTCTTAATTCTTGTCTAAATGTAGTCCCAACCCCCAACCCCTCCTGCGCGAAGCGCGGAAGCTTTGACGTTTCATTAAATTATTAGAGAAAGAAGACGATTCGTTGTACCGTTCTCGAAAATAATCCTCGTCTGAATTCAGTTACCCCCCCTCCCGCTCCCGCGCGTAGCACGGAAGCTTTTACATTTCTTTAAATCATTAGAGAAAGAAGACGATTCGTTGTACAGTTCTCGACTCTTAATCCTCGTTTGAATACAGGTTACCCACTCCCGCGCGAAGCGCGGAAGCTTTTACGATTCATTAAATCATTAGTGAAAGAAGACGATTCGTTGTACCGTTCTCGACTCTTAATTCTTGTCTGAATGTAGTCCCAACCCCCCAACCCCTCCTGCGCGAAGCGCGGAAGCTTTGACGTTTCATTAAATTATTAGAGAAAGAAGACGATTCGTTGTACCGTTTTCGAAAATAATCCTCGTCTGAATTCAGTTATTCCCCCCCCCCGCTAC